TTGGAGGAGGTCAGCCCTGCATCTGTTAGTCAGAATGTGCCTTTATTTTTTTATGGGGCAACTGGGACTGAGCACAAGTCCAAGCTGGGTAAGCCAGAATAAATGAATAATAAGCTTTTCCTCCTCTTTGCATTTTGAGCATGTTTTGATGACATTAAATGTCAAACAAAACGGTTGTTTCATTAATCAAGATTCTATGGCATATGAGCTGTGAAATTCTGGGATGCGAGTGGATTTTAATCACTCGAAGTGCACGCTCCACATCCTCCCACCGCTCACTATAAATATGATTTTTTTGGCACTGTGAATTGGTTAAAGTGTCACAATTATAACAAGCTCACACCTGACACGCCTCACACTCATCCTACTGACTTAAAACTTTCATTTTACTTCCAGTTAAAATATTTTGGAGAGTTATATTTTTTTCTCCCAGTCAATGTGTCTGCTGTGAACTTTTAAAACTGTAAAGAAATCTTACGCAGGAATTCAGAACATTCAGAACTCAATTTTGTGAAAAATCTGTGATATTTCGTCCTTCATTTTCAGTTTAGCAATACACATAAAGAAAAAATGTCCCTTATGTTTGTGTTAAGATTTCTTTGAGTTTTTAATAGAGCACGACCTCCCCCTGCAGGTCATAAATTGGAACTGCACGCAGTTACTATCCATTAAAGACGTCCTTCTAAGTCATCTGGACTTTTTTAAAACACAGAACGATATGATTGATTAATAGAGTGTGGAGACTTATTCTAAGATATTTTAGTTTTGTTTCTAATGTATAAAAATGGTTATTGAAATAACTGCAGATTTTTGTGAGTGTTCAGTGTGCCTGCTCAGTGTTGGGGTGGTGGATGTAGAAACTCACATATCAGACATATAAAAGAAACCAATGCAAATGTCCATCTTGCGTATGGTTCAAATTAGAACTTGACCAGAAATCTACTGAAAATGAGTTTTTTCTATTTTGTCAAATATAGCAACATGTGATGTTAATGAGTTTTAATCTGATACATCTGATTATCCATCTGATATACAGTAATCCATGAAAATAAAGAGCTAGTGGGGCGCCTGTGGGCTATTTAGATTAGTCCCCATTTTATCAAATCATAAAGCTCCATGATCACACTTGTATAAACATGAACAGTATCTTCTAATAAACACAACATAAATAACCCTGCAGATGCTGCTGGTGATTAGTCTTGATTGAGTATGAATTCCAGAGAAGGAAAACAAACAAGCCTTTTATTTTCCAGGCATATTTAATTGGCACAGTAAACACAATACAAAGTATTCAGTGCTCCAAAACAAGCATGGGTCACCAAATAGAACACAAACAAAAAAGTGCAAAACACACCATTTGGTAGACCTTACAAAGGAACAAAAAGTCTTACTTTGCAAAGCAGACAAAGTCATGGTAAGACTCTCAATAGTTAAAATAGATGTTTTCCTTTTTAAACTTTATCTATATAGTCATATATATTCTTTCTAATTCCATCACATTGTTTCCTCTGTACAGGCAGGTGATTCGGGGGCTTAAAAGAATTGTTTTCGTTTCAGAGCAATGCTTAACCTAAAGCCACTGCTAGACATTTATCAATCAGAAAACAATTTTATGGGAAAAACAAAAAAATCTTGACCAGTGAAGCGACAGCAAGGACAGAGCGTATCTGGGTCTTTTCAAATGAATTGAACAGGAATCCATCGCTCCCTTCAAAAAGACTCCAAACAATGATCAAATCCATCATTCCTCTACATGGGAAGTGTTATTGAAATTCTGCATAAGACGAATGTTCAACAATGGCTTCATCCAAATAATGAGTAGAGTAAGCAACAAAAGGACTCCCCAGCTAAAAAAGAACAACCTCCATTCGACATAATCAAATTTGAAAAAAGGTTAAAATCACGTACATTATGTGCCATTGAGCAGGGAAAAGCAGTAGACATCAATCTTCACTGCTGACAGTTTCATGATTATGAAAATCTAATCACATCTTAATCTTCTTCCCACGCTGCAGCTCGCATCAGCATCAGTCTTCCTCTCACTGAGAACAGAAACCTGGCTAAGGCCCAGATCAAGTGATGTTCTGCACGGTGTTGCATTCGAGTTGCCAGAAAACACGCATCACAGTATATTTTCATATACAGTAGACAGAGCCTGTTAATCAGGGGTTGCTTGGACCAAGTGGAAGCAATCCCACGTGGTGATTAACTGTAAACTAACCCAATTTTGCTTTAGAAATACTGGTTGTAACGTAACAGAAACTAACATTTGTACATACATACAGAAAAGGACACGGACAAGATGAGATCATTCTATGCATAGGATCATTCAGAAATCAACATTTGGGGGTTCCTATCACTCTTTTTTTAGGAGCAGATCGCACGCTTGCTGTTAAAAACAGGGAAACATGCTCTCTGGAAAAAAAAACAAAAGAAAAATATATGTATATATATAAAAAAAACCACAGGCACAGAACCCAAACAGTAGCATTTAGGTTAATTTAAACAGTATGACCAGGCAATGAGGGTTAACTGCACAGGAAGGCCAGAGGAGGGGAGGCGTAAGCTGACTTAGCGCCAGCGCCGCTTCTCTGAGCCGCCAGCAGAGGGGCGAGGAGGAAGACAGGGCAAGCATGCAGCACACCACAATGCCCCAAGCTGTTGCCAAAAACAAAATAAAAACAGGAGGCCTCAAAGCTGCCATGAGATAAGTAGCCCGGGTCGCCTGAGGAGGTGAGGGGGCGAGGGGGTGTGGTCAGAGAAAGGAGCGGACAAAATCAAAAAATCTGGTGGATGGGTGGAACGTGGTGGCATGAGTGGCGTGCAGCTTTTGCCTCCGGCTGATCCTGAATGCGGGGGAGTGATGGTGAAGAGGAGGGGAACTGGACATCACGCGACGCAGTCATTCGGGTCAAACAAACATGAAGCACGGCAACACACACAGACAAGAGAATTAGCAGCTTCTTCTGTTTCCTGTCGGGTAAAAACCTGATTTTTAGAGGAAAGAGAGGAGGTGGTGATCTCACAGATGAGCCTGGGATGATTCAGTGAGCGAGTGAGGACTTCATGGCTCTCTCTCACACACACACACACACACACACATGGTTTCGATCTGGGTTGTCTTTGGCTAGGCTCATGCTGGTCTCTGTCCTGTTTCTGACCACACCTTCTCCTGTGTGTGTGTGTGTGTGTGTTGAGTGTGTCACGGGGGCATTGCCATGGAGGAAACCAGGCCGGGTAGCGGGGAGAGCGTTAAAATTGACGGCGTGTGGTGCAAAGCGGAGTTAGTTACATTAAGAAGCAGATAAGCTTTGCTGAAAGGAACACAAAGCACATTGCGCACTGTAATCGGAGTGTTTCTTGAAAAAGTACTAGCGCTGAAATTTAGATTCACCCATCAGAGTTTCACACTGTTGTGCAGGGGGGAAGCGCGACTTCTGACGTTAAGTTTTTTTTTTCCTAACGTTTGGAAAACTCGGCTGCGTTCTTATCGGCCATCTCTCTCAGTTTAAAGATTCCGGTCATCTTTCTCTTTTTCACACGGTGGTTTGTCCGAGGCTGCTTGCCCTGCCATTCCTCCAGCCTCGTACATTTAGGAATCTGGAATTCAAAGGGGAAATACACACAAACAAATATAACAGAGGGTACAGTTAGTTGAAAATAAAAGCAGAGTGAAAGACCCAGCTAGTGAAACACGGAGAGGAGGTCGCTGCGTGAGTGCTGCTGCTTTGAAACACTTCTGTGGTGTCAAGCATGAAGTAAGCTTTAACTTATCCACATTTCTTTTGGCATGAATGCACATTAGAAAGCAGTCTGTGTCACATCATGTTAAGGTCACATCATGACAAAACAGCCTCAGATCCTGCAGCATGCACCACACCAAAGATGCTCTCTAATTAAAAACTGCGGGTGAGTCAGCACCGATGTGAATCCACATCTCCAACAAAGGCCTGCATACTGATCTATGATGATGAGACCATTTCCCAGTCAAAAAGAAGCTGTAAATGAGTTATAAATGGGGGCTTGTAATTACGTAGACTCATGCAGGACACCAAACAGCTTTCAAATCATGACCAGCCCAAATCCCCAGCCCGGTCTCACCATAGCAATCTGTACAGCTAATGCCTTTATTCCTCTACCACTGGCCTGGAAAAAAGGGACCAGAATAGACAAATACCATCATCATCAAAAGTAGCATTAAAAGAGACGAGACCATATTGCATTTTCTGACTTGATTTATAATCTTAGAAAATGAACCCTTACAGGGGAGACATTCACAATTTCTTGATGTGACATCATAACAGACTGACAGCATGCAACGCTTTCTCCTGTTCAGCCTAGGAAAATAAATATGTAGAGGTATTCTTATTTTACAGCAGATGTAAATGTAGCTTTTTGTGACTACACATCGAGCAGGTTTTTTTTTGTTTTAGCTCAGGTGGCAAAACACGATGTCTGAGCTTTGTTTCGATGCTTCTTCTTACATTCACACAGCTGAATCTCTTCCTTTCTGAGCCTCTGACTTAAACATACGACCAACATCATGGCCTTAGATTATTCACGCTTTTTGTCTGATATCTTAAATGATAAAAACTGTACAAAAGAAATCATGTGCAAGAGATCATTGCCAGCATCTGATTTGTCCCATGTTGCTGAGCCTTGACTGATGCTGTCATGACTTCTATGACCACTAGGCGGCACTACAGTAAATGAGAGCTGATGAACTACGGCTATCTCTTCTCCCATCGAGTTTGATTCACTCAGCTTGCATATCTTGAACACCAAATGCTTTGCTCAAAGCTCCGGAACAGCTTGGTGCCACATGCTTGTCTGTGCTGTCACGACGCACATTGCACAAATCTGATTGGTCCTTTCTTGTGAAAAGGCAGTAGGCAGGTCTGTCAGCAATCTCTAATACTTGCCCTGCTCTTTAAGCATGTTTATGGAGACTTACTGACTCACAGAAACAAATAAAAATGCCACGGAGCAAACTTGCTGAGTTATATGTATGTCATAGCACCTTTGGCGTTTGGTTCCAAAAGGACTTCGATGTAAGATGTGGGGACGTAGCCCTCCTCGTCCTCGTTCCTCCGCACTCGCGTCCAGCCGTCTCCTTTGTCTTCTTCTATGACATACAGCAGCTCGCCCTCAGCTACAGAGATGGTGCCCTCATTTTGACCTGTGGGCAGCGGGAAACGATGCACAAATGAGGAAAAGGAAGCGATGGGAGCACAAAGGCGCATTCGGAGAGGAAAAGCTGACGCTGTGCAATAAGGGAAGGTACATTCAATTAACATAATGTGACAAAAATACACATTTCATTAAACAGAAAGCCCCCAAATATCGAGTTTTGATTAATACTGTGGAAAAAAATAAATACATGGCTGGAGGATTTGGGTTAAAAAAGATAAGAACTTTACTTTAAGGCCTCAAGTAATTGAGGCCTTAAATGCACACAGCAGGACCTAAAAGCTGAAATCAAATAGAAAAAAATTAAAAAATTGCTGCTTTAACCTGACCACACAGAAATATAAAGACACAAAGTTTGCATCAGCATAAGGCATAAGAATGAAAATGAAAAAAAAAGACTCAAAGTTTTATTTAATTTGTAGAGTTTATTTCTATAAGTCCTCTTCCTGCATATGGAAAGTGGTTTGGGTGGGGATCTAGTCCAGGAAGCAGAGTAGCATAGGCTGGAGTCGTTCTGATAATGATGAAATAAGCTCTCCTTCAATTCAATTAAGAGAGACTCATTTTCAACTGCAGGGATTCAGCTTTCTGTTGTAACCTGATATCCAGTTGTTGCTGGTTGGTCATTTCCTTATTATTGCTATTAGAACTAGTAAACACCATAAACTGGAAAATCAGTGCAGTACTACAGTAATAAACCAAGGAAAAAACGTATCCTGGACATGCCAACCCCAAAGTGGCACCAACATCCCTCTAGCAGAGCCATAAGTTCTGCTATTAGTTTAGACAACAAACCACAAGCCTCAGTTACTCCAGATGAAATAAACTTGACAAATAATACGACCAAACTATAAATGGTAAGCACCTTGTGTTCTTACGAGAGTGGTGAGAATCCCACACCTTTCACCTTTTTTTGGAGAGTTCAACACGTCCGGCAGCAGTTTTCATCCCCAGATCGATCAAAGCTCTACACCATGTGCGATTTACACTGAGAGAGCTGCATTTAGCCAAATTTGGCTTTAAAAATGCTGCAGAGAAATGACTGCACATCTATGCACACTCCTCCTCCAGACATTTCCGCAGAAAGTTCACACCCATAGCCCCCCCCGTTAGGCTGAAACCACTCTCTAGAAATAACCTGTGGCAGTGAATTAATGGAGGCTATTTGCGGTTACCTTCAAATGGATACAAGGCTTTGCAGGTGCCAATAGTGGGTAGGGTCTCCTCATCATCAAACTCATCATCAAATTCTGGGGTGGTGGGTTTGGGTTTGACCTGAACCTCTGAATTCTGCTCCTCTGTGTAGCTGCCATCCGGGCTGCTCAGGGGCCAACACACACACAGTAAATATACTGTGAAAACATTTGAAGTTTTCTTCCACAAAACAAAAAAAAAGCAGATAAAGGGTCTTTTGACTGGGGCCGACATTCGTCAGAGTATACCATACCTCTCTCTGTCCTGTGCGCAGTTGTTGCTCACTGTTGTGCTGTTCTGGGTCTCATAGAGACCACTTCTCCGGTGTGTGTCACTCTTAGATGGCATCCTCTCCTCAACTTCTGCTAACCAGCCCTGAAACAAATGCAATTTTCACAAATCTCATGTTCCATGACTTTGCCATGGGACATGACAATTTCATGCCCAGGGTCATTTAGACCTTTAGAGCTGACAAAAAAGAAAACTCATGAGTTGAACACCTTTGTATTTATTTAGAGGCAGACTCTGCCTGCTCACAGCAGTTCTGTGCAGGAAGTCCCTACAGCTGCATCACATCTTCTCCAAATATGGATGAGTGAAAGGCTTCTTTGGCTTTACCTCAGATGTGTTTAAGCTTCTCCTCATTTACTGTTTTGGATAAACCAAACAAGATTGCCCCTCGTCCACTAAAACTTGACAGAAATGAGGGCTGCAACACGAACTGAACTAACCTCGAATTTCTGCACTTCAAACCGGAGCTTCTCAATGTTTTGGCTAATTTCTGCAAGTCGAGGGTCCACGCTGGCAGGGTCTCCCATCTGAGGGTTCTTCACATATACATCTTTCATCTTGGTCAGAGCATCCCTGAGAGAGCAAGTGACTACAGTCAGTATAAGTATTACATTAGGGGGTAGAAAAAGAAATAGGGATTTCAATCATTGGATGGGAAAGCCTTGCAAAACTTATTTCATAAAGTATAGAAACCTCTGGTCCATCTCTTTTTGAATGTCTTTATTGAGGTCGTCGATCTTGCCCTGCAGCTTCTTTCTCCTCTGCTCTGGTGGTAAGTGACTGAAGTCCTCTGGTCCGGAACCCTGAGAGTGCAAAGAGGGGAAAGAGCAGCAGAAAAAAACAGAGATAAGCTACATACAAAACTGTGTTAGAAAAAGAGCAGATTTTATTTTCTATTATTGTGCCGCTGTTTTCAAAGGGACCATTTATAGTCAGGTGCAGTATCTCCTTTTGCCCGTGGACCAATAACAGTAGAAAAAGTGAACTGAGTGGAAGAAGGAGATACTGCAGCTGCTCTCTAACAGACTCACTGAGAGCTAAGATGTTGGTCTGTGTAAACACTTGAGGCCTTTCACCTATTCAGTCGCCGCACCTTAGCAAACACCCTCTGTGAATACATGGGAAATGCAATAAAGAACCCCGGCTTGCCATTACGGCTCGTATAAAATGTCAGCATGAGCTGGCTAATGGCTCTGAAGCTGTCTGATTGTTCTCTTACAGGATTGTGTGTTCCTGAAATGGAGGCTGCGTGAGTGTGAATGCTCTCCTAATCAGTCTGTTTCCAGGCTGTGTTACTGAACTGAGGTGAGTCATGCTGCTAAATAGTCTCTCAAACTTCTGTACACTTCTGACTGACAGGGCAAACTTTAAAAAGGCAAAAACGCTTAATAAGAATGATTGTCTTATTTTTGCACTTAAACACAAAAAATAAAAAACTCTGTTTGATTTAAAACCTTTACAATGACTTAGATTTGAACTCTTTGACTAGTACTGAATATTTTGGGCTCTCTTAGGGAATCTGTCACTGTTTTCTGATCTGATCAGTGGAAAAGGAAAATATGTGTGGACTGAAGAGGTGAAGGCCTGTTGCTGGAGCTCTTTGAGACTGTTGTCACAGGATAAAACAGCTGGAGCTATGCACTTGAGGTCGGGATTCACTGCACATGAGCCGAGTCAAACACAGCAGCTAGGTCACCATGGTAACCTTACCCCTTCTCCCTGTATCATCATGCAACACTTAACCAGGCATGCAACATAACAAATATCTGTCAGTAATCATGCAGAAACACCATGCTCCTCTATCAATGATGAGTTAATCTATTAGTGTTAAGATTCTAACCGAGTGTGACGGATGAAGACATGTCGAGCTATACATGGAAAATCATTTATTGATTTTTTGTTGTGTGGCGCAACTGATTTAGATTACCGTAAATAGTTTCAAATGAAATCAGACCGATTTATCAGCATAATAGCCAAACACACATATTGATCCCCATTACGAAATCAGCTTAAAATACATTTGTAGACTTTCATCTTAAACCAAACACCCACTCCCAAGTCATCACATCATCAGAACCCATTTGAGTCACATTTCAATCCACAGGATAATATTTAGGCAGTATCACTGTAAATATCACCATTGAAATATCAGGGACAGGCTTAGCATCAAGTGCTGTATACCAACCTACACTAAGAGAACCAAATAATTTACATAAAATTAATTGATGTAAATTCCAGGATCTTCAGCAAAGGCTTTGATTCCTCCATATGACTCTGTAACTCACTTGATTTGCAAGTGAATCATTATGAAAATGTAATACTTGCTGCATTCAAATGGGACCCCATGGCCTCTAGACCAAGAATCAGTATGTGAAGGAGCTGGGAGTGAGAATTTGTTGAAAAGCCAGAATATGAAACAATAGCTTCTGGCTGTTAGCATAAAGATGGAATGCAGGGGGAAAGGTGGAGACATCTACATGATAGCTAATGGCAGCAACTTTGGATTTTGTGTTTAGAAAATATCAAGCTGTACTTGTATAGTAGTACATAGTGCATAGCATAACTTAATTTTATAGTAGATTTTTATGTCAGCATAGGTTTTTCGTGATTCCCCCTGTTTCCATTCTTCTAGCTGTAATTTCATATCTTGACAACAGAACATTCAGTGAAAAAGTATTTTCCTAAATGTATCCCGTCAGTCCTGGTAGTTTGTGCTGTCTGAAGACACATCAATATCGAGCTCAGAGTCTGTAGAGGCCTCCCGTCATTCACCTTCCGTCGGTTCATATCAAAACATCATAAAAGTACAAATATTGTGTTGAAATTGGCATGCAATGTAAAATAAAGACACGAGATAAGCCTTCCCACATATGATCAGATTAGTATTTGTTACAAGGATGGACAATTTGTTGAGACGTTCTACGAGACAGGCTAGCAGATAAAACATAGAGTAAATGTGATCACCTCAATGAGACTCCGGACGTGGGAATTGAGTGTGATCTGCACCACAGAGACCACAAACAGTGTGGGAGAGACAGCACAACCACAGCACACAGAATAAAATAACAGAAAAAAACACAAATCAGACAACGACATGGGTCTTGGGTCCATCGATGTGTCACAGCAAAAAAAAGTGATAATTAATTCACATCCAACAAAACAGCAACAACAAAACACGACAAAACAACACCGTCGCACATAAGGTTATGAACACCGTGTTACTGGGGAAGGGGGACATGCATGCTGTAGTCATGCCACTACGGACGTGCAGTTTACAACCATGCTTACCAGCTTGAGAGAAAGCTTCATGGGAGGAGAGAAGAGAGAAATGGCGCAGAGCAGGAGGGAGAAAGAAACAGAGATAAGTCAGCATATCACAGCCACTCTTTATTGCTTTCCTTCAAACAAGAATAGTTTATCTGCATTTTAGAACAATGCTTTACTTTGCCAGACTTCACCATATGAGGAAAAGAGGGTAAAGCGATTACAGGCTGAAAGGATTTGGCTAAACCGTTAACACTGTTGTGTCATAAAATAGCTCTTTTAGAAAATATTTCAGTTACAAAGCGTCCACTCTTTCCTAAAGTGGTGAAGTTCAACTTCTTTAACATGGTTGATCAATGGAAGTGTGAGAAACATGTTGATGGAAATCTAAAAAAAGAAAAAGAAAAAAAAGGCCAACCTTCTTGATAAGCATGAAATAAAGGGTGATGCAAATTAAATGAAGATGAATAAATACAAATGTAGAGAACAGAAGTAAAGGGAGAGAGTGACTGCAACAGAGGTGAACCAGCCCTTTATTTCTTCAGAGTTATCTACCAGGAGGGACAGCAGAGGGCGTCAAAAGCATGCATCACACTAGCCGGCCTGTGTGTTGACAGACAGACTCTGGACACAAAACAGGAAAAAGAATCTAACAGTCAGGTCTGCAAATCAAAGAAGCTTAAAATGCATGAAAAAAATTACGAATCAAAAAGCTAAGTGAAGAGAAGAAAAAAAGGGGTTGTTTGAGCGATTGAGTTATTTCTGAGAGGATGTTGTTACATTGTGAAAACAAAGAACAGCGTTAAGAGCAGGTTAACAACCATCGGCTGGTAGAGCTGGAGCAGATGACTTGTAATCCTGTTAGAGGCTCACAGGCTGGTGCACTGAGGAGCTCTACTCACTTTAGCCCGCTAATCAAGTCATCCACCTGGAATGGCCCGTGACGCTCCGCACTACGACACGTTTGTGATCCTCCCCTTAACTCTGTATGTGTATACGACACCCGCACGTTCCAGTTGTGTTTTCTGACATTACTGAAAGCACTTTCTGTAGAAGAATAACCCTCATAAACACCTCAAGATCCAATAAGGGGCTTGTTTTTGAAAACAGACTTGTGAGGGGACTAAATGGTAAGCTGAGGAAATTCTAGATGGCTTTTGTGAGTGTTAAAACGATTTGGAGTCAAGTGAAAGGTCCAAGCAGTTTATAATACCAAAAAAGATAACCAAGCACTCAGTGGCCCTAACGCCAAAAGGACACATGCTTCCTTGGTAAAAGTTTAAATTGATCCCATGAGTTTTTGTTCCTTTAGATGAAAAGTGGCTTTACCACAGCAGCTCATATTTTCTGAATTTTCTGCACCGTCTAAACTAAAAGTAACTAAAAGATCTTCTTTCGCAGAAATACTGAAGGAGGGATGTGCGTCTGTATTTCTTATTAGTTGATTCTCTGAGCTTTCTTCACTACAACATTTTGCTGAGAAAATTTAAGTCCCGAGTTTGAAACGTTTGCAAGCACAGACTCTTTGCAACCACCCAGACAGACATAGATATACGAGAACATTGTGGTTCTTACAGACAGACAGCACCGCTGCAGGATGGAACACCAGCACACAGAAAGCCCTGTCTGAGGGGTGAATTCTTGGAACTGAAGGTTGATCTCAGATCCGAAGTGTGAGCAACACCTTGTCTAATCAAATTTCCACATTTATTTAGCATAGAGTGCTGATTCCTGAGTGGGATGAAGAGCATCCTGACACCCATAATCAGGCCTCGTCCTCAGGTGCTTGCGACACTTTGTGAATTGACCCCTTATGGATGCTGGGTGGGGCAGCCCTGAAAACAGCTGCAAGACATGGCAAACCTTAAGCTGATTCATGTGATGAGGGATGAGGTCATCATCTTCTCTGATCATTCGTCCCGATTCTACGTGTCAGAGCCATGTGATCAATACCAATCCAGCCGCAGACACTAGCCTCTTTTGTGAGCGTGTTTTGCCTCATTAATCAGAACCAAGGCACTGGGAGCATCACATTTAAAGAGGCTACTGTCTGAGCTTCACGTGGCTTTTACTAATCACAACCATTCGCACATACTCAATGTCCGTTCACTCTTTATTCCTCTCCGTCCACTCTTTTGAGCGCACACCTGCTCAACACACGCGCACACTTACAACATATTGCCTTGCTTCGAAAGCATACGTGGGTCGACCCAGAGTCCTCTTCATGAGCTCTTTGTGATAAATGAGCGAGCGTGGGGATTGCTGCTGTGGTGGTCGTCAGAGAGAATAAAGCTTCGTCAATGGGAACTCAGAAAACAAATTCTTATACTGTATTGTAGCGTGTGCGGCCTCGGTTTGACTCGCCAAACACAAACGTTTATTCTTTCGTCCCCCGAAACAACACAAATACAGCACACGCGTAGATACACAATGACAGTGGATGGATTACACAGCTAATATGCAGCACGTGAAGGCCCTCCAGATGCGGTGCCATAGTTCCTATGAGCAGAGCTACACTACAGGCCACCTCCACAGGCATACTTAGTCTAATCCAAAATGTGATTCTGTGTTCTCCCTGTAGCTCAAAGGTATATATGGTATTATATTGATTTGTACACAGGGATAACCTGAAAATATAACTATGAAGATGGTTTAACTGTTAGTCTTTCTTCTTGTTGAGGATTAGAGAAGGAGTTTAAAACTTAAACTTGAGGTATCCTCATAGTATGGGCTGAGCAATGTGTGTTATTTCAATGCTATATTTTATCTATTAACATTTGAATGAATGTGACATGTGCAAGGACACCCAGTTAAAAGGGATAGATGAATTCAATTATGTCAAATTATACACTTTTTTATCAAGCACCATTATGACATTATATTTTGTAAGTGTGTGTCATCTCCTGACAGTACACAATATATGTAAAACATATTGAAACTAGCTGACTGAAAATGCCTTATCTCTAAAGATAACAACATATACCACCACAGCGATTCTAGATGTTTGTTATAGTACAGAGGAAGAGTCCTGACTCGGTATCAGCAGCTGTGCCAGAGAAACAGTGGGGTTCTGGCATCCGTGAAAGGCTTGTTTACCGGATCAACCACACACCCTCATGTGTCTCCAAAAAGACCAAAAACACATAGTTAAAAGTGTATTCAGTGTAAATCAAACATATTAAGTATCAAAACATCAAAATGTCAATGCAATGAGAAACAAAGGGGTGTACTGGTAGTATTTCCCCAATCAAAAGGCCATTGATTTCAGACTTCCAAACCACCCTTTAGGTGGAAGTGGGTGCGACAGTAAAGTTAAACTTTCACTTCTTGAAATCTTTAATATGTACTCTGTTAAAATCAAGGTATGCAATTAATCTCTGAGCCTTTTTTTTCTTCTCGCGAGCTGTTGCAGTACTTCCACATTCAGAAACGTGTGCTTCCTGCCAGATCTGTGAGGCGCCAGCAGAGCCACACACTTCCCTCTTGTGTGCATTGCCTTTAATCATTTCCTCTACAGTACACTCACACACTACCCCGTTGCACCATATTGTTCTCTAGCCTTTTCAGATGTAACGTAAGCATCAATTCATGCTAATGTTGGTTCTGTGAGTACCTGCTGCCCTTTAAAATTATAAGCGTAAACAAATACTATAATTGTAGGGAACCGGAAGGAACACTGTGAGCAACCGCCCGTTCCTGAGGTCAGGGAGAGCTGAAGGAGGGGGGTAACGGGAAAGCATGCTATGACCTTCCCCAGTGACTGTCACCCATCTACGCCATTTCAATGCATACAGGGCCTTCAGAGCAGGAACTGGTGATGACATGAACCAGGACAATGTGCAGCTGCTGATAAAACCTAACTCTGGGAGGCCTTCTAATCTTTCTCTCCTGGCCACTTCCCACAGTACCTATCGGCTGAATCTTATCATGAGGTTTTAAAATTCTCTACTATGTTCTTTTCCTCATATCACATGCAGAAAAACAAATCTGAAACAATCTAGCTCCAGCGTGGGCTGCAGGAAGCAACTGTAGTCACCATGCTATTGCAAGGACTGCTCAAGCATTTCGCAAATTTCTGTCAAAGGGGGAGGGCTGGTGAGCGGGACTGTCATCGTGAGCACAGTTAAGATGAAAAATGAAGGGACAAGATGAGGAGAACAACGGTGAGTCAGACAAGTAACATAGAGCTATTACCACTCTGCTATAGAAGCCTGTTAGAGAAGCACTGAGGCTGAGCACTGCATGAGTGAAGGTGAACATGGCTAATTGCACCATTTTAGACAGTTTGATTTAGTAAATATTAAAACAAAAAATCGAATATTTAGGACTGCTCAGAGCTCCAACATCTCAATGGCTCAATGATGCCAAAAGATGATGCATCTTTAAGAGAGACTCATTTGCATTGCTTCAGCCATACAGTCCAGAAGAGCTCAGGTACAGGTGTAGACACACACGCTCACGCACACGCACATGCACAAAGCTGGCTGGACACACACACTTACCCCTCGCCTCAGGCTCCGGAGGCAGTGCATTTTGGGTTTGGAGGTCATGAAGTCGTTGAGGCGATGGGAGAGGGGCTCCTTCTGCTGCTTGGGAGACTGGGGGTCGTTGGGAACAGCAGAGGGTGAGGGCGGGGATGAGGCTGGGGGGGCAGGTGGGGGCAGGTGGGGGGACGTTAACAGGGACATAAGCTACCGGTATGAGAGGGAGCCATGGCAGAGAGGAGGAGGAAAAACATGGATGTCGAAGAAGAAGTAGAAGAAGGGGGCGAGAATCCAACGAAAAAAGACATAAGAGGAAAAGGAGGAGGGAACACAAAACGAAATAAATAAGCCTCCTACAAATATTAAAAAATAAACACACAACGGAAAACCCAAACAGAAATTAAAAGTCAACCAAAGGAATGCCAAACCTAGTTCATGAGTAGTTTTGTTGAGGGTGAGAAAAAAAAAAGTCAAAATATATAATACAAACAAAAAAACAGTTAAATAGAACAAAACGACCAGAGTGAGTTGGAAGCATAAAATGTGTTAAAGCAAGCGGCTGCAACACAACATACAGCAAAACAGTTAAAAGCGCATGCTGGATTTCATTTTAGGATTCCCTCTCCATCTTTTCTCTCAACATACCAGCTAAGAAATTTAACTAAGCCCAGAATCTTAGGTGATCGGCAAAAGAATCTAATTTCACATCCGAGTCCTAAAACTTCAGACTGAAGATTTCACCGGACAGCAGTTCAGACGAGTGAGAGCGAAGCAGTGGTGAGTTCTAAGATACCGAGGTGCATGCATGTTTAACCGATTCCAACACCCTTCTCCTAAAAAAGAGACTAAAAAATGACCAGAAACCCCTGATCTGTAAGGCAGTGCTGTGTCTGTTTTGGTTTACCAAGTGTATGCTGGGGTTTTTAATCCACTCGTTTTCTCACATACACACACACTCACGCACGCCCAACAGCTCACTCGTGCTCTGGTCGAATTCAATACCACCCGTGTCACCAGCCCATAAGACAGCCACAGATCAGTTTTGATGTTCAGGCTGATGAAAAGTCAATGGAAAAACACTGAGTTGATACTTCAGACCCGACAGCAAGTTAAAATCTGCCAGTTAGGTTCGTCCGTAGAGCGCAGGTAGAAAAACATTAGTGTGTGTTACAGAGGGGAGGCTCCAAATTTGGTGAGGGTGATTGTGAGGGAGGAGAAAAACCGGTGGCAAATCATAACAACAAAAAGAGCAATACTAGCAAAGAACTAGCAACACATTTCTTGAGCTAAACATACACAAAAATATAAGAAAATCAAACAGACTAACAAACTTACAGTGACAACATTGAACATATATATTTCTGCTGTATTACAAGAGAAACAGAACCAAATGATCTACTGTGCCCGTGTAACCCCAAACGCTCCATTAAGAGCACGTTGACCTCCGAGTGAGAATGAAACCAGTGAGGCTTTGCTTTACGTGCACACGTGACTCCTGTTGGGTGTTCATTCATGTGTTACCTTGTTCTTGTTCTTGATGAAAGGCCAGAGTTTGCCCTTGCTCCTGCCTGGAGGTTTGTCTTTGCCCTCTCTGGAGTTGGACAGGCTGTTCTCAGACACTGTCCTCTTCATGGCCTGACCGTAGTCCTCAAACTCCACATCTCCTGGGGGCTCAAAGCCAGACTTGTAGGACTCCACCACCTGCTGCGAGTCCTTTTGGGAGACAGTGGTGGCAGGAGTTAGTAGATTTATTTATTTTTTCCATGTTTCACAATGACTTAAAGGAGGATGACTGTTTTTTGGGACTGTCAGAAGATTGGACACCTCAGTGGCCTGGTGATTTTATCTTTTTTTTCTTTGATTTCTCTTTATTCAAAAACAATTCTGCGGCTGTGTACAGTGACATGTCTGAAATGATAAGGCCAGACGGTCTGCAGTCACTCTGTCCATATATGAGAGAATGATAAGAGACAAGGAGAGACACACGGAGAGGAAGAAGCCTGTGAGTCGTCATTCCCAGCCGTTTACTGCGGCAGCACCATTAAAGGCTGGATTCATCTCCCTGGAGATGAGCCACGCAGGCAGCTACACAAACACACATATGAGGGGATCCCTGGAGAAGGTTTTTTTTTTTTTTAAATCATAACACAGGCCACCAACGTCTGACATATTGATATATCACGCTGTTCGTGTTCTTTTGAATGTGAGCTGTTTTCCATTTCAGTATCCAGGTGATAAAAAAGCAATAAGAAATAACACTGAACGTGGGCCAACAACTGTTCTTCAAAAGAAAATAACAACTGAGAGAAAGAAGAAACTTTTTTGAAGAGCTGTGCTGAACAGCCTCCTGACTGTGTGGGAGAAAGGTAGTTAATCATTTTAGAAATAATAACACAATTCACCTTCTGGCTTAGAGTTCAGTGGGTTCATGGTAGTATCTGTTCCCTAACAAATTAGGCGGGAGCAGTAAGCTAGCCCAACTTAGCACCAGGGAAAAGGGGGGGTCAATCTACAAACAGTGTAGAACATTTTAATTGTTGGGTTCTAGAGCTGCTGACCGTGTTATAGATGTTTGTTTGATTTTATTCCAAAGTTAGCACACTTAAACACGCTTTCTATACGTACACACATGTTCCAAAGGGAACTGATAAAATCCTTTCCTATTGCAAACAGCACATTGTTTACCCGAGTTCTGGGACTTTCAGTGCATTCAGAACTGGTCTGATAAGCACTGCTACCTCTCTGAGCTGAGTAACAGTAACAATAACAGCATGAAGCCACAGATTTTATGCTAGAGGCTACATTCAGCTTGTCAGATAGTAAGCGTGTTCAATATCTTCAGATTATTTTATTCTTCTCCTATTAATACCAACTGGAACCCTGTATTTATTTTTTGAACTTCTCGCTGAACTAAACAGATCATTGAATATTCAGAACTGCAGATCCATGTCATAAGTACAGAATATTTAAACTGAAGTAGCAGAGGCTTGTTTTCCAGACGTTTACTTCTTATTATAAAAAGCTTATTCCATAAGACAGGGTTTTACTGACTCCACACAACTAATGTGAAGTGAGAGTTTTCTCCAAAATGTTAAATCCAAAGCCAAATTTGCAATAATCCCTGTGACATCATCTGATTTTTTTCAGTCCTTTCCAAGCCCCACTTCAAAGCAACAGAAAAATTACACAAACTTTCTCACAATCTGCGCATAATGCTGTAAGTCTTGTGACATCTTATGTAACTCGACTTTGTGTAAGAAAAAACCTGTGAAATACATCTTTAAGACGGATTATTTTGTGTCTGTGTACTTTGCAAGAAATTTATGGGGGAAACACAGCATGCGTTTGTATCATTGATTTTCTCACTATAAAGGGGAGCGTAACATTAAATTCTGTCTGTTTGAGTCTGTTTTTTCTCCGTAAAAATATTACCCTCTACAACACTTTATTGTTCAACGGTGGGTTGTTTTTACTCCTGAAAAAGGAGCCCAAGAGTTCCATTGCACTTGCACACCGTGATAGCCTTATCGACCATGCGTGGGCTGTGACTGGCTGCCTGGTCGAGTGAGTAATATGTCCCATATGGTGGTGTTTGTGTAAAGATATATTACTCTGCATACTTACAGTCTTGGGTTCGATGGACTCAGCAGCTTTGGTCATGCCATCTAAACACTTCCCCACGATGGGCAGCACTTGGCGGTCCACGTCTGCGAATGTCTTCATACATAGTCCTACTCTTTCGATTCTTCTTTCCTCCATATCCTGAAGTTTCTGCATTACAGCACAGGTATATAGATACATGAGTGTGAACTGGAATGCAATTTCACATGAAATATGTTACCATTTCAAGCCCATCTGGAAAAAGAAGTTTGTATTATTACAAATCCTTTTACAAAAATGACTTTTTCTGTCAATAAAGACTGTATATTCATTCTTGCATGTTAAGAATGTATTTTTAGTTGGCAACCCAGAGGGAGCTGCGGATTGCAGGGTGCATTTAATTATTGCACATGGATGCACCATTCTGGTAAAGCCCTCAGTCAGAAGTAAATCATGAGTGTGTTGTTGCTGTATTTACCTGAAATATACTGGGAATAATTGTGTAGTAATGGTCATTCTGCTCCTGGTTGAATTTTTGCAGGTAGGAGGAGTAATCGCCCTTACTGTCTGTAGCCATCTGGTGCCTCATCTGAGCCTGCTGTCGTGCCTGAAAAAAAACATACACACAAATATACACATAAAAAACCCGTTGTCCAATTGATTAATACACGAAAATGTCTCACACACACACACACACACACATTTCCACACAATCAAATGACTGAAGGACTATCTGTCCGTTTAAGCACTCATGCACACAAACAAACATGGAGCTCATAGACATAGGTGCAAATCCAAGTAAGGGAGCAGTGACAGCCTTTGGCACCAGATCATATGTAGGCCAGGACAGACATATATAAAAGGACTACAGCGGCTGCAGAATGGAGGAATTTGGATTTTGACTGCCTACCCAATCTGGGCTATACCTGTCGCCAACAATGTTGATCATTTTAGCTGAGTTGATAGCAAGGGAAGGGTAGCAGGCAGTCAGAAACGCAGAAGGAGAAGCCAATTACAGGCCTACGGCAAGCAGATGGAGATGAGATTAACGCAATGTGACAGCGTGGGTGCGTATAGTGTTAGCATTTGCACGCTTAAGTGCTCATATCTGTTTCCTTTTTTCCATTAGATCTGAAGCCCGTCCACTCATTAATAGTAATTCCACTAACTTATCTATACCAGGGTGTCCCCTTACGAGCCTGTGATTCTGATCGACGTTTGCGGGGCTAAATGCATAAGTGAAAAAACAGTCACAGGAAAAATGTTGGAGAGGAAAGAGCCTCAAAAACTCGCACACAAACGTGTTAGTAAAGATGTGTTGAGAAGATCCACTCAAGACCAATGACAGCCTCAAAAACAGACATATGACAGAAGCTGAAAAATGTGAAAGTCAAGTGGTGTTAAATGGGCCTAGTGACCCGTGAGCATGCTTGTGTGCATCTTTGCTTTGCTGGTGTAGATGCATGAGAGGCATGCAACTTGCACTGATTGTATTGAGCAACAATGTGGGTACATGTCGTCACCATGACAACAATGCTGATAGCAAAACTTTTTAACAAGCCGCTGTGCCTGCAGCCACATCACATCCTGTTGTCATTTTCTGGAAATTACCCATTTTTTCTTTGACTGCCAGCTCTGTGCACGGATGCTACTTATTTCCTGACATGTATCTGTCCATTAAATATTTTGGATGGTGGCTGGTGTGGGGAATGCTGCCCTTAAGAACGCATAAGGGATTTTCGTAAATTATTTATTCTTACAGCCGTAAACATCAAGGTTGGGAGGTGTTCAGCAGACGACAGCGCAGAAAGCCACCACAGTCAGACAGACAGGATGTGCTAATAGACCTGTTTAAGGCTATGTGTCAGAATAAAACAGGAGACCACGTGTGTACTGAGACACAAGTCGAGACAGTGTGTGTTCCCCACAGATATACAAGGTTCTCTGCCCGATGGACCTACCTTATGGTAACTTCGCTTCAAGGCATGTCAGAAAATAAATATACAAACACACACACACACAAAAGGACTGTTAGCTGTTGCCAGCTAAACAAGAAGTTGCTATAGTTGCACTTCCTGAAGCTTCAGTGGTGTCATCTTTCAAAACGGGAAGTTTTTACACATTTGAAATCAGCATCACAAAAAAGTTACTTAAAAAAAAGCCCTTTGGTAGATGGTGAATTGTCCAGTGTGTTTTTTACCTATCCGACTACTTGGGGCTGGGGGGTCTAGCTCTGGACAACCACTAAAACCTTGGCTACACGAGCATTAGCTCTTAAACTTTAAAAGAAGACGTCGTACATCAGACAAGAAGGACTGAATCATCCATCCATTCACTTCTTCCAACTACTGGAACCAAACGTGTCATAATGTATTTAATATACAAACTAGTGAGTCTCACTTCACTGGAATTCATAAAAAAAAAAGGCAACTTAACAAAAAATCCTATGGTCGACATTTGCTGTTGCACGTTTCCCTTTCTCTTTTTCCCGTACACTTGTCTGTTCTTTTAACTCCACATGTACCCATGCCTCAAAGGATTTCACTGTGACTCAACCTGAACACAAACTAGTCAAGCATTATGACATTTCATCCCTTCCGGGTGAGAGATACTCTGTAAACTCTACCTAATGAACAGAATCTGTCTCTGCAAAGACTCAGAGAGGCACATCATTTATTTTTCATCTGATTTAGACCAGACAATAGTATAATGTTAGATCAAACCAAGCTCTTAAAAAGTGATCATTTTGCTGATTTTGTCCGAATATCATGTATGTACACGTGTTCATTTCTATTGGTAATTTTGAAATAAATACTCTTTTACGAGTTTTATTTGACAACTTTAGAATTAGTAGAAATTGGGGAAAAAAGTACTCTGTGCAAACTTTCATTCACTCTAAGGACATTACAACTTGTATTGTTGAGGGTGTACATAACTTCCTTTTACTGAATCATTTCTGGCTGAATCTGTCATGCTTTGTTAAACACAACACAGACAGCACAGCTCTTGTTTCGAGGCTAGTGTCTTGAACTGCTGTGCTGGATCTTTCCAGTTGAATTCAGTGTCAGTCTAAGCCTATTGTCGGTGTCTGGCTGTACGTCCAAATTGCAGAAAGGCCCTTTCTTCCAGTCTATATTTGCATAATAAATGGGCCTGAACTATGTTAATCAGAGCTTGAGCTCTGCTCTAGCAGCAGCGATGTAGCAGCGGGAAGACGAGCTTGCCTTGGGGCGTGGGAGATGTTTGGGTTAAAAGCTATGTTTTTTGAGCAATTTGTTAATTGAACGTGACAACAGGAAATGACAAAAGATACAGGCCAGTGGGTTTCCATGGTCTACAACTCCTGGGAATGACACAGGATGTGTGTGTCCAATGTGCACACCAACAGACATATCAGACTCTCCTTTAAAAAAAAAAGGAAGCAAATCCATCCATCCAATTTCTAAACCGCTTTTCATGCCGGCTGGAGCCTACAGTAACCTAATCTACATACATAATAAATAACGCACGTAAACCACACACATGGGTACCGTTAACACAATCTGTCCTCTGTGGCTGGAGCCCATACAGCACAGCACAGCAGTGTTCAGTGGCTGCTTTACAATGATAATGAGCACTCAGTCCTGCTATCGGCCCTGTTTAGAAGCAAACCGCTGTGCTATGACAATGCCACCTTTTATACAACACCTCTGGCATCAAGCACAAGGTTACTCAATCTTCACTGCCTTTTGGGCTAAATGGAATGACAAGCCACGGCTGTGGGATCAACTGGTAATGAAATAAAAAAAAGGGGTGAGAAGGAAGGCCAGGCTACTGTGTGAAGCATGTAGGGGTACAGGACGAGCTCCCGATTGGTGTTTGCTGCTCGGGGAGTGAAATGACACATACCTTTTCCACTTCAGCCTTAGTCACGTTAATGTCAGCATCCATCTTCTCAAAATATTGCTGAGCTCGGTCAGCCTCTTTGCAGTCCCTCTCAAACTTTCTTTTACACTGAAATGAGAGAATGACAGACCTAATATGAATGCACAGAAACATCAGTAAAGGTCCTGGGATGATACTTAGCATTAACAATATAAAGCATGACCTTTGCTGGGCAGAAAACACACATCATGATATACATATTCATCACACATATTACAGGCCCTGTGTTGTGGACAGCAGAGGTGAGTTTATGTCACTGACACAGCAATGGCGTCTGTTAAACTCTGCAGCTTGGAGATTAAACAAATATTCATAGTGGCCATTTGTGGACAGAAAAACAACCATTCATCCAACCCTCTTTCGACCCCTTTAACTGAACAATCAGTGTTTGTTGGGCCAGCGTGCACTCTGAACTATGTCTCTCTGCCTCACACACAATGGTATCATTGAGTGCACAGAGAAGTTTGAGGAGGACAAGGCAGTTATGCATTTCTCTCCCTCGTCAAAGGGGCCAGGCAGAGATAAGAAGCGGAGCTCTGTGAAGTTTCTGCTGTTACTCCTCTACAAAGGCAGACAAAATCCTGGACCTGAAGTTCAACATATAACAAATCACATTTGAATATAGGGCAGTGATGTCATCTATATTAAGCAAAATGCAGACAGGTACCTCATTTGTAATTGCTCAATGTTTAAACCTTGAACAAATTTGGGTTTGCGCTGTTTAGAACGTTATATTAGGTGTTCACTGTATAGCCTAAAAGCTGGTGGTTTGAACATTTTTAAGTGTCCTCAGATATGATGTCCAAGAAATGGAGGAAAAGTACAACACCGATTCCTCTGGGATCTCCTTTTAACACAGCGAAGAGTGGTTCAGTCAGAAACTGGATGACCTCTTGTTTGTGCTCCTTCCGTTTCTTGATGACATGCGTCACACAGCTCCTACTTCAGCGCCTGAGGCGGCGTGTGGTTTTCTGTATCATGTGCTGTTCATGGCTGAGGGGTCATTGAGCAACAAAAATGGATACATACTCAATTTATACTTTTCTGTTTTCTTTCATTTGAGATCCTGATAAGAAATAAAATGAATGTAATGAATTGCAATTTTCTTTTTCCTTTTGGAAATACCAAACATTTCTAGAGTCCAAGCTAAATAACTCATTACAATAAGTGTTTATATTTCAGATTTGGTTTCTGTATTACACTGCAATACCTACAGAGTTACTTATTTGGACACTGGTAACATTTTCCCCGGTTTCACCAGTGTCATACACGTGACAGAAGATTCTGCTATGCTTTGTGTTATGAAAAAATCTGTTTCTGTTGCAAGAATATCCAACCACAAATGTGCTGTGCAGGAACAATACATTTATTTCAAATTGATTACTCAAGAGTCAAAATTAGACTCCACATTTACATATAATCATACATCTTTTAAATGAAGATTTAAAGTGAAGCTCAGTATTTCTATTTATTCCTTAAAACTGGAGAGCTATTTTAAAGAGTATATTCAAGAGTACATCAATGGAAGCCACTTACTGATTCCAGCTGCTTCCATGAGCTTTCGATGTGCTGCTGTGCCTTACGCCCATCATGGAAATGCTGTTGGAGATGAAAAAAAAATTATCATCCCATTCATGAGCTCAGAGGATTTAAAAGCAGGTGAACGTGACCTTGTCAAATTAGGGATTTGAAATGAGAGGAGTGCAGCAGCGTAGAAGGGAATTCTCAACGTTATTAACTACTATGAATACTGCTCACGGCGTAACAGGAAGGTATTCAGGTAAGTCAGAAAGTAGGGCAAATTCAGGATGGCACTATGGAGCTGCAGTAATTATCATCACCACGGGCTGAACACAGGGAGGTTTGTCCAAACTGGAACAGATGGCTATGAGTCTAAAGATCATGTCCCACATTCAGCACCGGTCCACCAACACTCCTCCAGAGAACTGGGGTTACGGTTAAAAACCAAGATAAAAAGCAGTAGAAGTTCCACTAAATTTGTGAAAGTTAAACATATGGTAGATAAGATAACAATGACAGGAAAGGACCAGTAAAAGTCTGCTAAAACAGAGCAGACAATGGTGTCACATGTTTTTAGATCAATGTGCCGGCATCAAGCTTTTGGTTGTCTAAAGCTGTTCTCTCTCTCTTTGTATGAATGTACAATAAGTTCCTGAGCTCAAGAATAAACATGGCAGATCTAAACAAGATATTCAGTCTGAAACACAATTAACTTTTTCAAATTATTTATAGAAAAAACAATATAGTACTGTGTAATCCATTTACTGAGGCCCAAAAAAAAGAATCAGGACAGAAAGGAATAAAAAAGTATCTGTCAGCCAATTTTCTGTCTTTATTTTTATACTCAGGATGACACGCCACCCCTTCAGATTGTTGTGTGTTCCCCTTTGAATGTATTAAAATAACTTTGGAGGTTCCCCAGAGTTTCCATCTGCTACTTTCACCAGGTAACCAAATGTGTGGAAAGCAGATTTGTTTTGAGTTATTTTGTCTGGACCAAAGCAGACACTGAAGAATCAATAAGCTCCAAATGTTTTCAGATGTATTTTTGTGGGTTCGCTTGTTTGTCTGTAGAGAATACAATGACAATTGAATTCTGTGTCTAAATTTTCAGGAAAGTGTCTGTCTAATAAAAAACCAAACCAAACCAAACCAGACAGACTGAAATAAGAAACAGACGAGGGAGGATTTAAAGCGAAATGGCAGATCGTCACACAATAAGCGTAAAGGATGAATAAAGCAAAAACCAGACATTGTAATCTCTGGGAGGCAAACGGGCCCTGGTGGATGTCGGCCATGCCAAGTGTGGCATATCGGACAAACTAGGTGACAGTTGCTGGTCTGAACTCCGACACATATGCTGTGTGACTGTAAAAGGTGTCACTTAGCCTGTCAAGGTGCTCTTGGCTCACAGCTCTTAGTGTGGAACAAAGCCAAATCCTTAGGAAGTGGAAAAACCGAAGAAAATGTCTAAAACTTGCTTGTTTTTTTTTTCCATTCCACTGAGATTACTTCAACTTCGGCCAAATTATAAAAACAGAGCCAGTTTTAAAAGAAAAGGACAGAACTTTGAATGAGGTCTCCCCTGGTTACGCAGGCTGCGGAAGCTGAGCTCTGTAGCTGAGCTGAATATCGATGCAGCCATTCAATAAAACGGACGGCCCCTTGTAAAGAACAGAAAGTTTTTGTTGGCTTTCTCTGGTATTTCAGAGCCTGGGGAAGTCAGTATTTCCATGCAATGCCATACACACGCAGTAGCCAGAGATGTGAAATCAACACTGCTGCTGGAAGCAGGTCTTCAGGTCTCACCTGAAAATGCTGGATATGAGAGTAATTTGTGGGAACTGGGTTACTCTCTAATCGTCAGACTTCTCATTTCCCAACGTTGTTAGGGAAGCTGAATAAAACAGGGAAGTGATCCAGTGGTTTAGAGGAAGTATTTGAACTAGCAAAAGAAACGGGACATTGTGCTGTTGCTCACCGTTCAACATAAGGTGCTTTTTTCAGCAACTATTACCTTGAAATACTTGCTTGATAAAGGAAATGTTCTTAATACCTTAAATTCATGTCTTAGTTGATGCTGATAAAATGAAGATATCCTAAGGTCTTTCGATAAGACACAGAGCCAGACTGGCTGACTTCACTGTTACTGCAGAGCATTAGTTCATCTAAATATTTGTCTCCATAACGACATTTCTGAATTTTATCCAGCATCGCATTTTGTTGAACTAATCATCAATCACCACAAAGATAAACAAACAATGATCACACTGCGAAGCATCACATGTACATGTAACGATAACATCCTGACCAAACTAAGGCACATCAGCTCGTTTCCGTTCAAATATGAGAGCACAGCCCTTCGGACAGCTGGGATGCAGGTATTGAGTGAGCGGAGCATTTGGGCAGATTTCCTGGGGTGACCGGCTGTTTGTGTTTGGAGATACATTTATCCTCACAGTGTCCATGTAGCCCGCGTTGCTGGAGCAAGCGGGTGGCGTCTGTCTTTTTTTATCCAAGCCAATAACAGCATGTGACTCCAGACACTGTCAGGAACATCTGACAGAGCCAGCAGCAACAGCGGCCACTGACCTGACCATGCCACTCAGTTACCCAGGCACTTGATACAAAGAAAAACATTCTTGACTCAAAATTTGAACTACATAAATAAATTAATCTTTATAAAAGGTATGAAAAGGACAACAGCTCTAACAGCTAATTGCAACGGCAAAGTAATACAAAACAGACATTTAGACTATTGTCAATGCAGAGCCAAGCAGCTCTCTATCCTCTTGACTATTCCCTCCTGGTACAGAAAAATAACCAGTTTCTGTGATAAAATAGGGCAAAAGCCTGGTAATAGGGGAGGTTTCTATGCTTTACTTCTGTGGACTGGGATGCACGCATGCGAGCCAATAGTGAGGATGCAAAAGATGATCAAGCCTCCATGTGTAAGCATTGATATGTTATTTCAAACTTGAGCAACGCCGCAGATGTTGTTTATTGGGAAGTAAATCTGGACCACAGTGAAAAAGTGACAGTGGTACCATTAGTTATTACCATCAGACTCATCTTTTGCTGCATGTTTAGCCTCTCCAGAATAACCATGTTTTTACCACCTTCATGCACCTCTCATCTCTGCCCCTACAAGATTGATGTGGCCAGTTATATTTAGCAAAACCAGTGAAACACTTTTCATTCTGCATTATATTTCTACCGAATTTGCCTTCAGTCATTTTTCTTAGTTTATTTTTTAAATTGTCTGAACAGAACGTTTCAACTCTGCCACCACCTACAGATAATTATATAATGTAACAAAGGTAAAAGTAGATAAAGCACACAGGGAACCAACCCACAGTCACACATATTGATACAAACAGGAAATACAGCACAGTTTCATTTCAATCCTGATAGAAGCACTGGGGCATGGTGGACAGGGAGGTCTTGAATTGTGTTAAAGGGTCTTTATAAGTTCTCATTAGAGAGGACAGCTAAGCCTTGGTGAGGACAGCATTGTGCTGACTGAATACCTTATTATGATTCCTCAGCACAAATACAGTACAGTAAGACTTAGGCTCCTCATCCCATACTAAGCCTGACCTATCTGTAATGTTACACACTATGCAGTTAGGAATTAAACAATGCATGGCAACGGATCTTTCACAGAGTTCATGTAACAACTAAAATACATTTGCAAAACTTAAATCATCTTACACACATCTGTTGTCTCCAGATCTAAACTTTTTCTCTTGACTTCACCCATACTGACCCTCACTGAGCTCAAAGGTTCACTCTGGGACACAACAAAGGTAGGTGGGAACAGTTACAAAACAACCTTACACGAGAGACTAATGAGGAATTATATCTCCCTCTGGGTTTCTATTATGGATTTGACCTGTCCAACGAGCTCCCTGTAAAGCCAGAAGGGGCAGGTCTTTGGCCTTCCTTTAATCCCACTGTCTGGGTCTGCCTGAACAGCTTTGTCTGGCATTTACACAAATCAACAGATCACTGAGTTGTACACACATGTACACTGTTTCTGTTTGACCACCATAGGGCTATCACAAAAAAAAACAGGGTTTTAATCAGGAACCAAACTGAGTTCTCTGTTTTTGTAGCTGCAGCTTACTATTCTCATTTGCACAAGATATCACTATTCATCAGTTGCCCAGATGTGTCGAAATGCCTGGGTGACATTGTCCCAATAAAGAGCTGCTTTGAATATAACAGAGAAACTGTTAGCTCAATGTCTCCAGATGAATCAATCCTCTGTTCAGAAAAGATACTGTAAGGAATGCTATAAAGGGAAAGCCCCAGCAATGGCTACATGGGTCAACACAGGGGAGGGCTTCTTTAGTTAGGACACATGACACGCTATCAGCAATGTCAGCCACAAGTGAGTATGTACGGCAACAGTTAAAGAGACAGTCATGGATGTGTAGAGGAAGAGAGGTGTCAAAGTGACATCCTGCAGCTTGAAAACAGCAAGGGTCTGTCTAAGGACCAACAGGACACGCATGTGATCACAGCAAGCCATCTTTGCTATGCCCCGCTAATCCGCAGTTTAAACCACAGCTAAAAAAAATGGAGTTAAATAGTTCTGGCAAGAGTGAAGGATTCCCCTTTGCAAAAGCTGGAAATCCCCTTTTGTCTTTGTGCCTGTTGTGAGTAAAACCGGGCTTAAAATACAGACTTCCGCAGCTTGTATCTCGTATGAGGAGTAAATGCAGCTGCCCTTATGTCACCACTCGTGCACATGAACATGCTCGCTTGGCTTTTCCACTCCAGTTCCCTCAGATGGACTACGGAGACATGAGGGCTCATGGCAGAGTTTTCAGAGTGAACATTTTTCATCTGGCTGTTCCTCCACTCCGATTCCACTGTGTTTGTGGACATTGTGCTGTTAACTACGGTCTGCAGCTTCATCAAATGATCTCATGGAGGCAGTGATGAAAGAGATAAAGATAAATCTTAAGTAGGTCTAAGAGATGGAAAAAAATGTGTACTGTAAGAAAGACTGTGACTGTCACATTTAGTTCCGACGCAATCTGCCTTTGGGGGCATCTATATTTACTCAGCGATTGACTTCCTTTCAGGGAGAATCGAGTATTTACTTTATTTTTAATTGGACAATTTTTCTGAGTTATTTCACAGAGTCCATGTCCTGTATTCCTCTGATCTAAACTGCATTCATGTGCGGAGACTGAGAAATCAAAAAGGGCAAAATACAGACACAGAAGTGTTCAGGAATCCTTTTCAATGAAACGAGATTAATTCAGCACAATGCCTCACCGATTTTCTCTCAGCCTTGAGATCCTGCAGGTAGCGAGTTAGCTCGGTGATGATTTGAGACGTCAAGTTCTCTGATATAACCTCGTGTTGACCCGCATAGTCGTTTAACTCGTTAAGTGTCATCAGGAAGGCTCGACAGAAGGAGTATCTGTTGAGAGACAGGAAGTGAGGTCAGGGAAACACAGGAGCTGGGGTAGTAGTCTGGATTTGGTGTAGTGGAACTTCCAAAAGAATCAAATTGACATTTTAGGGAAATATTCTTTTTAAGTTTCAGGTCAATAGTATCATGTGTTTCTGTGTTTCTAATAACTGGATCAGCTCTTTCGTGTATTTAACCAATACTATAGTGGTATCTTTGTACTCCTGTTATTCTTCATTTAAAAATGGTAGCTTCACTTTATGTTTTATGATCTTTACACACTTACTTGCTCTCTTCCTCTTCTTTTGAGTTCTTCTTGGGCTGATATTTCTTTGATAGGTTCCTGTAAGGACAAAGAGATCAGCGTTGTCACACACTTCTGGCTGCATCTCTACAAATGCACAGTCTGCAGACCAGTTGTGCACCATTGCCTTTAGATTTCCCTGAGTGTGCCTTTATGGACCTGCCAAAGGATCCTCCATTCAATCCTCCTGAGTGCTTTCTGTTCCTGCGACTACATCCACATTTCCTCACTTCATGCCATATATCACAACCCCCAGAAGGATGCATGCAGACAAGCATGCTTCTCTCAAACAACCACTGTTGTTTGTTTTGACTCTGGCTGTATGTTAGTAGCTCAAAACACACGGGGAGCGTATAAATGAAATGTACAGTGAACACAGCCATGTATGGATAAAGGAAAAAAGAGCAGTGTTTGGATTATACTTTCAATGTCCCACTCTTAACCCTTGGATCAGATAGAATACATCATGTCACTTTTTTCGTTATGACAAGGTGATAAAATCATCCCCCCCAACAGTCTGTCAGTAAAACATAATATCACACAGCATGCTCTGATGGATTCGCTTGTGCCTTCAGGTTTCTTTGTCTATTTAAAGAGCACTGTTATTGTGGTATGTTGTTATTCTATCAACAGACTAACAAAAATAAACACAACAATGCTAACAAGAAAAAAGACGATAAATCCACTCAGAGATGAAAAATTATACTATTAAATCAAAACAGTCTGTATCAGAAGCACTGAGAAGCTGTTAGCAGTCAGAGGCAACATTTCATTTTCAGAGAGAATAAAAGCGCCTCATCTTATCACATATATTATCAAGAAGGATGCTTAACTCCTATTTAAATAAATAATGAATGGGTTTAAACACTATATGTAATCTAGGTCTACAGAGCACTCAATCCAGCTCTCTGCCAGCCTCCCCCACGCCTCCACTCCCCTGTGGAGTTTCTACTGTTGCTAGGCAGATCTATCTGTGGATCTTCCTCCCTGTCCTTCCCACATCATCTCTAAATATAGCACTGCTTCACCCATTCATTCACTAACGGCCAGAAGACATGTGTGATTGTACTCTCACTGGTAACCTACATTTCGGTAGCTGTGTGTTTTCACAAAGAGGGATTAATTGAGCATGTTTGTTTTTTCATCTGTGGCACAAGGAGGGTATGATTATGTCTCAATGCTTTACTGGACAGTCACTGCAAAAATTGTTTCTACATACTGGTAAATAATATAACAAACTGTTTTCTGCCCTCATCCAGTCTCTATTTCTAGCAGGATTTTATTCCCACTTTATCGTGGATTACGCCAGACTGTAATTTGAATTTGGGGAGTGGAGGAAGGAGGCCTGAATGCACTGCTCTGCAATAAAGAGACTGAAGCATTGTGGATGTTTACACCAATGCGGAGAAGAGGATTATTCATGGATTAGTGGGGTGTGTCGTTGGTATGGTGACAGAAAGGGTGCAAAGCAGAGACAGAGCTTTGGATGAAATTAAATTGATGAGGTGTTTTGGTTATTTCTTTTACCCCAAAAAAACTTTGTTGTATTCCACTGACCAGCCAGTTGGTGATCAATAACTGACCCAGTTCCACAGGCCATTTGTCATTTCTGCTCTGGTTAATGTTTTCTCGCTTACTTAGTATCGAGGACTGAAAAATGTATATTGATATTGAACTGATATAGTGAATTACAGTACAGTCCAAATTAACTTAACTTGTGAACTAGTACTGGCTAAACCAGAGCATGCACAGCTTTATTTTCCAATGAATATTTGCTCTAAAAGGACATTTAACACCTGAAAAAAACAAATCTGCCCAACAACACAAGAGGACAAGATCAAAGAGCCAGTCTCATTAGTTTATTAAATCTAAGTGCCTTGTGTTTCTTCTGGTGTGAATGTGGCTGATAGATTAAACCTGAGCTCATGAGCTAAGTTGATTACTTCTAAAGGATAATTGGTTCTAAGGGTTGGCAACATATCACCAAAACAGAGAAGTAGTGTGTTAACAACACTGGAAAATTCTGACTCAATCTGCCCTGTCTTTGCAAAATTGGCTAATTTTAGCTTCTTTTGACCAGCTTGCCAATAAGCACATGCATGTTTTCAGCGTGCACTTTGTGGATATCCACCCCAGCTGGACAGAAGGTCCCGAGTATAAGCACAGAGACTGAAAACATCCGCACCATCTGTGTAGCATAAAGTTAAATAAAGGCCAACCTGCCACGGTGAGATGGGGTGAACATACTGTGTACAGATGCTAATTTAATTGTTTTAACTAAATGTGTTCAAAGGCATGTGCAGATCTGTGGGGGCTATATTGTATTTGTTTTTGTTCAATGCTGTTTTAGCCTCACTCTAAAGGGGTAAAACCTAAGCCTTGTGGAGAGCTTGTATCAGTTAAGAACACAACAAAAGTAGATACTGTTTTAGCATGTTTTAGAAGATGTACAAAAGAAGAGCTAAACACAACTAAAACACTAAGATGATTAATGAATGCTATGAGCATTCTAATAAAAAAGGCTGTTTTCCTGTTTGAGGTGTGATCTTGTTAAAGGTTAACAGTTAAAGAGCTGTGTGGTTAAAGCACGGATGTGTACACAGACAGCTCGTCTTATCATCTCATGCTCACTAATTCTGCAGAAGATCTGTTCGGGAGGATTTTACATATGTAGTGGAACAGTATTGGCAAGTTATTCTGAAATGGAGGGGGGTAGGGTAAATACTTAAGGCATTAGCCATATTGGCCATCCTCTTTAGAGATGGGGATTGTGGAATTGGGGGAGTATCTCCTACCATGCTGGCTGAGCTGCATGAGGTCTTAGGAGATGCATTCTCACAATACAGGATGCATCTCATGCTTCCATGCTTGCCTTTAAAAATCAGTGACTGTAGTGAAACACCGTGTGCAGCTACAACACTTGTAGTTGCAGGAATAAAAAAAATCTGGGTCAGACGTGGGGATGATAATGCTTACACTTTGCAGTCTCTATGGAAACAGAGGCCTCACCCCTTCCCCCCACAACCTGACTTCCTCTCGCCTGAAGCTTAAGCTAGCAAACAACAGCATCCACTTTGCACTCAGAAGAAGGAGAGAGGCAGACAGAGAGACTCTTCTGCACAAAAAAAGGATGGAGGGGGAAGTGGACATCCTCTTCTGCTCTGTTTGGCTATAAACTCACAAAGCATTGTAAGTATAGGCATTAGGGCAGGTAAACAGCATTACATAACAACTGCAATGCCAGAAAATATAGGGGAAGTGTTGATTATGACCAAAGGTGGAACTAATCAAATCTTATTTTGGTATCTGGTTCCAATAATGAGGTCATTCTCGGATCAGCACTGGTCCATGTTCCAGATTCCTATGATGGGACACTTCTACTCATCATAAATGTGTTATAATACAATTGCAAGTATATAGTTGTTTATGCCCTCTTAACAGTTTGCATAATCTGCTTATTTTAGAGTCTTTATTTCTCTGGAAAATACATCAAATAAAGACTTGGACCAAGAGGTGGAATTGTGTTTGATTGTACAGTAAAGTGTAACCGATTTGCCTTGCTTGCAGGACAGAACGAGAGAGATGATATTCTGTCTTTCAAGCACACTTAAATTACTCAAATCTGCAATTGTTTTTTTTTTCCTATTTAGAATTAATCTTGCAACTACAAAACGGATCATACCTCCAGTTTGTTTACTCACCTAATTTGCTTTGCATAGCTGGCTTCAATCTCTGATCGCTCCTTTACAAATTTGGTGTACTTCTCCACAAATTCAATTCCCCACTGTGTATGCTTCTCCAAGTTGTCAAACTGATCCTGTAGAAGAGAGAAGGATAACATGTTTAACAACACTGAAAAACAAGCACTTTCCACTTTGACAACCCAGCAGGATGGAAAAGAGCATGACAAAAAGTAAAGACGACGCATGTTGGGGTTTTTCCATTTGTACCCACTCAGCCCGACACTCAACTCAACTCGCCTCACGACTCGGCTTAGTACATATGCAATATGTCCAGGTGTTTAGCCACTGAGATCAGTCAGAAAAACATCTGCATAATGCTTTTATTTCTGAGACCGGCGCACCTGGAATATGACTGACACTGGCCTTGGTATGCAATCATATGGAGGGGCCAGTGTGACCAGTTAGTTCTCCCTGGACATTCAAATACAATGTCACAATGTGGACTGTATCGGAGGGCTCGAGTAGCTCATAGTAAAAACAGACATTAGCAGTCTGCAGCACTGATAACCAAACACAGCTGTTTGGGCTGAAGTCATAATTCATAATTTGCGCCTGACTGGTGGGGAAAATATGAGCCTGAAGCTGGCTGAGGTCACCTCGTAAAATTCATCAGCTCCAGAAAAAGAGAGCGCTTCATCTGGGATATCAATTAACACACATGCTGTGACGAAACATCTGCAGCAATCCCACCGCTACTTTAAGACTACATTTCTGAGGATGGAATTGATAGAATCTTATGAATGAATAAAACAAAAACCTTGGTGTGGCTCCAACAGTCTCCCATCCTTTCCTCTACCATGTCTGAAGTCCTCCTGAGTGAGGCTATGACACACCGTCGACACACTTAGCAGGTGTCAGCACAAAAAGCTTTGTTTCTTAAAGCGGACCATGCAGCGCACTGTAGGATGACTTTAAGCATCATGAGCTGAAAGCAGTGTGATACCAGACACAGGAAGCGGTTTTGGCGACGATTATAAAGACGTGTAGTGCGGCAGTTTCAGGCATCTTGAAGTATGCCTCTGATCTTTTAGTTCAATTTGACTTATGCATACTTTTTTTCCCAATGTATTTTTGTTAACAGAACTTAATCTAAAATTAAAAAACACCTCTAAAAAAATATTCAAATTAAACGACTCCCAATTGACGCACTCAATGAAAACAAAAGAGGTCACTTTGAATGACGGGGACTTTCCAGTCTGCATTGTCAAGTCGGTTTCAATGAGAGATCAGTCATTAACAACAACCCACTCAGATTAAACAGAATAATGACCAGATAAAACCAAGCAATCAGACATTTATCTGAAATAACGACCCGAGTCATCTGCTTCATCACTCGTTATCTTTGCAGGGACCTGATTACTTGTTTTTCTTTGCAATCCCTGTGAGCATGTTCACTCTCACCCCTGTGTGCCAATTAAAGTCATCCAAAATAATTTACTTCATTACAAACAGACAGCAGCCGTCAGCAGCAAACGTCACGACAGCCACATCACGCACACACAACTATCCTCTCCTCCTCCGCACACATTTCTCAGATTACCCTTTTTTGCAGGGGCACCATTTTATCCACTGTCTCTCAGCGTGGAATGTGTACCCTTTGAAACGCCCAAATCCGGAAAATGTCCATTCAACGCGTCACCCTCCAAATGAATGCTGCTGCTGGGTCGGGGGGGGTCATCCACAAGACCTTTGTGTACGTATCCACAGTGAAGCGAGCGCTGATCAGCAAAAGTGTGTGCCTGGGTTGGGAACAATGTCCACTGACCCCACTCCCACACAACTCCAAAAGAGGCTACCCAGACGTAGCGAGTAAATCCTGATATTCTGGAAGGAGTGAAAAAAAAAAAAAAAAAGGAAAGAAAAAGCAGGAGGGGAAGCGATCCAGTACTGGCTCCCTCAACAACACGCTCTGAGTAAGAGGCCACGGCTGCTCGCAGTATTCAGGCTTAATGCCCTCTCAGGCGTAAGGTGGAATAAGTGGGATGGGAGAGGAGGACAGTGAAAGAGTGGAAAAACAACGGGAGGGGGGCTTGAAAGGAATAGGAATGATAGCTGAGGCGGGATTACATGGGAGGGGATTACATGTGGGGGGTGGGGGCCTGCAGGCCATGCTGCAGGAGCCTCTTAACTTTGCCAATCTGCAAAATGTGCAATACTCTAAAAATGATAATAGAAAAAAGTGGGAAAAAAACATTAGCAAAAGGCTCTTTTTCCACATCATGATGAGTCATGGGGAGATGCTAAACCTTTGTTCAGGCAGCAGAGAAATGAGCTAAAGTGAAATGGAAAATCCATCAACAATTTCCAAGCTCCAAGAGAAAGAGCATATTAATAATTCATGAGTTAGAGGGAGGGAACTATCAAAGAAAACATTTAATGACAACTAAGCATGACTCACTACTCTCATAGTCTCCTTCCTTATCACACTGACTTCCTGCAACTCCAGCAACTAAAGCATTAAACCCTATAGAAAATGCATTTCTCTGAAACAAAGGAGTGAAAATACAGTGACAGAAAACCATCAAAGTAAAGGAAAGTACACATTTACTACACAAAGGGGAACGACAATCTTCAGAAATAAATTATCAGAAGAAACACGTACACACATCCACATGTGCAGATCTTACAAAATGGGAAAAAATAATTTATGCTCAAGTCCATCTGTGGAAAAACAAAAGAACAGACTACAGACTTTGTGGTGATGAAACTCCCGAGATTAAAATCCGATGGGAGGTGATGGTATCTCTGGGAAGGAAGCCAAATATACAAAAACACCACCCCACAACCCGCAGGGCAGAAATGATCTATGGCTAAAGTCAGACCTGCTTTGTCCATGTTCCTCAGAACGGCATGGGGACGACGTTCTCCATATTTGCTGGGTGGTCATAATGTTATATGAGATGGTTCCTAATTCATTACACGTGGCCTTAATAAAAATTCGTATTCTCGGTGGGGAATGACCCATGTGATAATGAATACCATAATAGAAATGAAAATCATCTCATTTTCAACTCTATTTCTGGCTTCAAGGACCATTACTTCCAAAACAAGGGTTAAAATAAAGTCACAACCATTTTCCATTCAGTTACACAAACTAATCTAAGGCACAGGGCATCAGGGTGTCAATGGTGCATAAGATAAAAACATTTCTGTGGGCTAAACTAAGCGTGCTTCCCTCTCACTAAACGTTGGCTCCTGCTTCCTGCATGCAAATGGAACGATGACAGATACTTTGTCACAGCTGGCTGAACAGTCGCCAGTCTCATGGTCAACTCAGCACACACAAGCGTCTTCTCAGACAACACTAATAACTTCTCGTCCTGACCTTGACCACCTTCCATTCTTTCATCTGCATCCTCTGACACCTGACCTTGTTCCTGCAAGGAGGACAGATGTGGGGGAGCCCTTCAGGGTATAAAACAGGCCCACTCGGCTTGTTATTTCAGGCCACGGTCCCACTCACTGTAATACTTGTACTATTGTTGTAGAACATATAAGATAATAAACAGAACTGTGCAGCAAGATATTTCTCATTAACCAGGAAATGAGAAGCAGGTTCAAACGGAGACAATCCAGATGCTGAATTAAACTAGTTTTTACTTTTTATTATTTGGTTAAAAGAAAACATGCATGCCTGTTTAAGGATCAGCCCCCTGACCTGCAAAGCCACCACTCTCCTGCAACGAATAGTGTTGGGGATTATGGATCCGGTTAATGTAACCGACTGGCAGTTAATCTGTATTAATGCATATTATTTAGCAAGCATTTCAGACCAAATGTCTCAATCACATCCACACTGAGAACCCAATGACCTGCATCCCTTCAATAATAAGGTAAGGAAAACTTTCATTGTTCTCCACAGCCTGTTCATAACATGTCTAAATACAGATGAATAAGTAAGGACACAATAGCTGTTCTCCTCTCTTCCACAAAGGGCGGTAGAGAGTAACAAACCCGTGTTTTAAATCAGGAACTAGTTTATCCTTGTGGTTACCAAACTAGAAGCTCTGAGGTTTAAAAAACTACAAGATGTCACATAAAGGTCGCATACATTGAACAAATGCGCAAAATAAGAACCAACATTTTTCGCAGTATCATTAAGTCAGGTTGATAGATTTACAAAATAATTGCGAAAGAACTGCACAGATTGTAAAAAAACTTGAGAAAAACTTGTGGGGAGACTAATACTCAGTGGCCCAACCACATCAACAGATGACAGTTTTTCTGCTTGGATGATCACAGCTCCAATCAATACACAGACACACCAGAAGCTGCTCAGTGGTTGACTGAGGGGGGAAAAACCAATGACCAACTCATAAATAAGAAAGGATTCAGTCAGCAATCACGAAAACCTAAAACTGAAAGTTTAAATAAGTTTTTTTTTCTAAAAGATGGAAGAAACCAATAAAAAAAAAAGTTACACAGTATGCTTTCTTTCACGATGAAGATGAACGATTTCCAAACTTGGTTCAATCTTTCACAATGTGTCAGTGAGTGGTGGTTAGATCAACAGGAAGCGTGTCAGAAAAAAAGAAAGATAATGAAAGGACATCATCAGTCCTTAATTCAAACCCCCGAACTGACGTGTTCAGAAGGAACAAGAGGAATGCTGCGGGTTTCTTTTTGGGTTCAATCTGTTAACTAAAGAGGAAGGAGTAGTCTGGTGGTCAGCCTCAAGACATCACAAGAAGGCTGCTCAGAAAATGAGTGTGTGTCTCAACCTTCTAGGTTCAAATGGACTGAGACCCCAAACGAATCTATAGATACCAAGATCGTTCATGGTTTGATGGCTGATTTATAAAATCTGGAAAATATGCCAACAAAGAAGAGCCTCCTGAGTTGACGGACTCAGACTGGGACCAAAGTGGGAGTGAGAGGGGTGGGAAACTGCATTCATCCAGAAAGGCTCATTGGACTGTGCGGGTTTGGGTACTGCCAATTAAAATAGCAGACAAATAGCCAACTGTTCGCACACTGCCTCGAATAAAGCAATGTCCCCAAAACGTTTGACTCTCTGGACGTGTTCCTTCACCGATCATTCATAATCCTACAATAGGCTCTAAATAAGCGGATACAGCGCAAACTGGAGCCTTGCCTCTCAGATTTACTGTCCTCTCCTGTCTGTGAGCTGGCCACTGCCGCGTTTTGCTGTGTGTCACCACGGTGGGCGTCCAGCAGCAAGAACAAATATTTGACGGCGATGCCAAACACCCACTTGAGCACACTCAAGGCTTTGTCCAAGAAAGCGGGGTGGAACAATGTCTCCATAGCCCCGTTAAGGCTCTGTGTCAGAGAGGACTCATAGGAAAAGACACAAAGGGACATGCACATGCACGGACATAAACAAAGGCAGACGATCATGTGCGGGACCTCTGTACCCCCACCATCAGCTTTTTTTCCGGCCTAATAAAACACTGTACAAATCGTTTTGTTGAGGAGCCACCACTGAAAATTAGCTTGATTTTGTCTGTTATGGCTAAATGCTGGTCCACCAATGGAGCTAATCTTGGCAAGCAGAGATATATTATCATTATTTATGGTTAGTCGTGTGAAAAAAGAAACGGTTCAACGAGGCGCTTGTTTAAAGAGAAATGCACACACATGTACAGACAAAAACCGAGTGCAAAGCATGAGCAGCTGTTCGTGGCAGTGTGCGACCTTATGTCTAAGAGCTCTTGTTTGCATGCCACATAGATATTAATAGCAGCAACACTTCAGCCAGACTGAAATTTCAGAGTGTCGTTTGGTATATGCACAGGTTTATAAGCCATGGTTCTCGGTTCCCATTTCATGTCTCCGCTCCGTTCGACATTGCTCCGATTGATGTTTAATTATATTACCTATGTCTATCACGAGCAGAGAGAGATATATTGTCTTAGCTGATGGTTTTTCTCAAAAGGGAAATCATGTACTGCCAAATCACTGCACGTTCTAAATGGACTATCCAAATTTACTATCTGCCTTTTGTTAGGGTGATTTTTTTTTTTTGGTTTCATTCAAGAACGCCCACCAAAAACTTGATAAAACTAGCTCTGAATCTCTAAAGAAATGTGACACCTCACTTACAGCACTGGTCATCTTCATCTGAAGGAGCCCCTGCAGATACTCCTCAAAAGGGCCCAGCTTGGGCTGTTCTTCTGTTTGCTCTTCCTTCTCCTCTTTGACAGAAAGAGCATTGTCCAGGAAAACAAAAAAATTGCTTTTTCTACGCAACATGCTCATGGCTTCATGCAAACGCAAAGTGGAAAAACAAAGTCCAGAAGGAAGTTAATCCATCTGAGGAGGACTAGAACGCAACAGAGGGGCAAGTCTCGCCTGGAATCCTCACCAATCGAACACCCAGATATGTCCCGGTTAACGCAGAGCAAAATATTAATAAAAAAACATTTCTAGTATGCAGTTTTGAATTGAAGCTGGCCAAATGGATGCAGAGCTCAAAGTAAAATGACAGTAGGAACAGAACTCCTGCAACCAGCACAGACGTTGATTAAATGACGCTGTTATTAATCTGATTACTAAACCTCCCTTGTTGCTAGCTTTAACACCCATTAGGCTGCTCTGTGGTTTAATCCTTCCAGACCAGCAAACACACATTAGTCATTGTTCCCTCTGAGCTGTTTTTGTTCTTTTAGGAGGATAAAGCTTGTTAATTCTTATATAATAAATTCTCTGGAATGAAACAAACCTTGAACTTTGAAATAAGGCCAATCTTTGACAGTTGCAATTGCATTTCTCTATACATACTAACCTAAGCTACTGCCCTCATTCAGATGGCAAATAAAGTAGAATCAATATAGTGGCCAGAAAGCTTGATAATATCTTAATAACCTGCCCAACTAAAGCAACTTGGGTATTTATTATAGCATGGACTGATTTCCTATTCCAAATATAGTTTATACATACTATGTAGCTAGGGGTGGGACGGTTCACAAAATCCACGGTTCGGTTCGACTCGCGGTTTCGTGGTCACGGTTTTCGGTTCGGTTCGGTATATGTATATTATTAAGAAAATCTATGATGTCTTGTATAGTCAGGTTAAAACTGAAAGAAAAAAGCAGTCTGACATCACATTATTGTGACAGTCTGAGGTTAAAAGTAGGTGAGATTCTGGCATTGCAAGCGACGAAACAGTGCTAGTTCCGTCAACATGTGCTTCACTCTAAATGCTAATGTGGTCCCATACAGCAGAACTATAAACTGCTGTTGGCGCGTCGGATTTTTATCGGCTACGGTACGCTGCTTCGCTTCTTCTTCTTGTTCACTACCGGTGGTTGGCTTTGGGCACAGTAGCGCCCCCTTCTGCTCTGGAGTGAACACGCTTCCCTCTGAGAAAAAGGAGTAGTGCGTGAACCGAACGCAACACACGCGAACCGAACCGAGACAGTTGAACCGAACGGTTCGGACGGTTTTCAGAAACCGTCCCATCCCTATATGTAGCCTAAAATGACAAATCTGCTAAATGACATCAGGCTCCTGCTGTTTTACGTAAATGTATGACCTAAATAGAACCTGCAGGAGGCCAAAATGAGGAGTTTATAGTCACTCAACCGAGAAAAGGACAGCCCTGCTGAGCTCACCACTTACAGTACAGATGCTACATAGGTTTCTGTAGATTCGCATGTCACAACAGTCATGCCATGCAATGCCACAACATGTTTGATGTTCCTGTTCCTCTCGGAAGCCTGCTAACCACATATTCAGAATGATTACTACACTTGCACGTCAATAGGTGTCAGTCTTTAAATTATATACTGCTTGCCAGGCAGATTGTGCAATTAAAAAGAAAAAAAAACACAAAAACAAGTTCCACTAGTTTATAATTACGTCAGTTGGGTAACATCGTAGTAGTAAATGACAGACTCCATAAAACATGCCTGTTTTATTGGCGTTGCACTGAGAACTACAGTTGTTATGTGTACAGTGGAGTTCAAGTTCATAAATAGATCAGTAAAATGCTCCTTCTGTCTGTCTCATGGAAGACTTCTCTGGGTGTAGAGGCTCTTTAATTAAGGGAGCTTAGCTGCAGATAGCAGCCAGGGGTCAAATCAGTCTGTTGGAGATCTGGCTGTACTTGGCTGTATCCATCCTGCTATCAGTCTTTGAGGCAACATGGTTTCCTTTTAAGTTAGGCACAGAAAAGATGAAAAGTTATGTTACTCTGATGCTTTGGAATACAGATTTCATACTAAAAAGTTCTACACTGTAAAAACTAATAGCTGGTTGTGGTTTTTTTTTATTTTGTCTGACAAGTTTATTAATGCTTCCCATGACATTTTCATAAAAGCAATATTCACTTTGTTTCTAAATGGTCTTTATAAGATGTTCTTGTTTGGAAAGCTAATATTTTTCAATGTGAATTAAAGTCAGTGATCCATAGGTCTTTCATGGTTTCCTCCAGCTGTTTTTCTTGGATAAATGGCAACTTTGCTAACTCGCTAACAGACCACAAGAGCCACAGCTCTGTTCCCTTCTCCTCTCATGCATGATGATGCAAAACCCCCTCTTGCCTTTTTTCAGGGGGTAAAAAAACCATTGAGAACTTTAAATGTATATAGGTAGTGCAAATAAATAGGACTGAATCTGCAGCTGAAACGGTTTCCCAGAAAGGTTCTCTCAATTTGGTGTCGACACTTTCACTCCACCCCTTTCTGCCTCATTGCAGGATATGAGTAAAGATGGCTCTGTGTAAGAGGCTTCCTGACAGGGCACTCGTATCTGTCATGAAGTATGATTTATCTATACAAATGAGTTTCCCAAGCTAATGTGCAGCAGACTTAGGGGTCACGCCTACTGGGAGACATAAACACACTGAATTTAGTGAGAAAAGCTCTGATCGCTGTTAAATAAAAAGACCTCTCTAAAGTTGATGATGAATAAAAACCAACATGATCTCCACCCTGTCTGTATGACGTCATCTACACTTGCATGTATCCACACATCCCCCATACCTCAATAATCCAAATGATAGTCCAGCTCCAGCAAAAAGGTGTTCATTCCACACCTTGCAGGTGTTCAAACTGTCTCTTAGAGCTTGTCTACAAAAATGTTCATAGCCGACAAGTATTATTTTTACACTGTATCTTTTTAGATGGTGATAACAGTAAAACAGAGAAGAGAACATTTAAAGAAAAGTTTGAGTGGGCTGGAGTAAATGTTATATTATGACAAGCTAACTCAGTGAGAGACAAATGTGTGGTAACAGCTTGCTGGCTAAGTTCTCTTTTCATTCCAGCTATGAATCATTTCATTCTAGGCAACCGTAGAGGTGGCTGAACGGTTTATATTTGCAATAACCACATCTGCGTTTACTCAGAAAAATTAAAACCCACACACAGAAAAAACTAAATTCCGTGACCCTGAAAACATCCACTAATTTCATGACCACAGATGTGCACAGATGGACAACTAAAACAACAGAGCCATCAGGTTTTTTTTTCATCTTCAGCACACATAACAAGTCAGTTACTTTGTACTTGATGACTGTAGAAAACATGTGTGCTGTCCCGTCCATTCTGTCTTGAGATAATAGCCAACGGTATGCTGTATAACACTCCACTGTCTTTTCTTCAAATTTGATACCTTCTGCAGTCTAAAACCTAATGTGGTTGTTAAAAGAAAGACCTTTTCAGAACATCTGCCACCTGCTGAGTCTCTTTTAGCCTTCTGACTCTTTATTGTCCCTCGTTTATGAGCTACATAGTCGATGGACCAACTTAACAGTGTGAGATGTTTAAAAGAAATGACACAAAAGAGAGGTGTTGTAGCTCTTTGTTGGCGTCCCTGAACAGCTATAAAGAGCCAATAATGCTCTTGGCTATCATTGAAAAAGGAAAATGATGCTGTGGCGTCCTAAATACTGAGTCACTCTTGCACTATGTAGAACAATACAGCAACAATTAGCGGCGCAGGGTCTGCTACAAAGCTCAGGTTGCATTATGTCAGAGCCTGAATGTCTTTGGCTGAATGGCTATATAATTTCCAGTGCCACGGCAGTGATTATAGAGCCTGCCTTTGCAAATAGCAGAAGAGGTGATGCCCACAGATTAAAGGCCGCAACAGGCTGTGCTGGGAAGTAATGAGTCATATCTACGTGGAGAGATGACCAACTGGCTTGAATCGTTTCTGTTCGTTTTTGGGGAGACAGAAGAACTACATTTCCAGTAAGAAGACACCTTCAACACAGTACATATTTTGTTTCCTTGACAGTGATAATGTTAAGAAGTCTCAAGTTTAAACATAATTAGCAACAAAATATTGGTTTAAATGAACATTTGCATGATAAATTGATTGCACAATTCAACTTGTGTCCAGGTCCTTTCATTTGTTTATCTAAACTTGTCTACAAGACTCCATACTCTTCCCCCTCACCCCCCCTCAATCCCAGGGGTGCACTCAGACCAAATGTGGATCCATTTATCAGCGTTTCACTGTCACAGTGGGTTGGAGACAGGGGAGAGGAGAAAATGGGCCTGAGGTCGTTTCCCTGAGTCAGCAGGTGGGTGATGATCCGCCTAAGATTTACTGGGGAGGTCTGTTGTTGTCTGCTAAAGGTTTCAGTTGCTGACCCCCACTGAGTTCCACACACACAGAAAGCAAAGAAGGGGCTCGGGTTTCAGTCCTGGAAGTGTTCTGAATGTCAAGTGAACTGAGGGAGGGAATGAGGCTGGAACTTCAGAAATACTGACTCAAGATGTGACAGAAGAGCAGGAGAGAAGGGGAGAACCAGTCCTACAACCAAATAGCAATATCAAACACCACAAGGAAACCAACCTGGACCCCTTAATGCTGTGGAAATATGGCCAATAAATTTGCTAGAGACCTTTTCAGCTCCCCTTTCACTGTCCAAGTGACAGAAACACTCTCATTTAGTGAGTTCAGTCCACAGAAAAATGAAAACTTTCCCTATATCTGATGGTGACAACTGCAGTGCAGTTTGACTCACCTTAAGCTGCTGCTCTTTGAGTAGAGTTTCAGCTTTGTCCATTTTCTCTCATCAGTAAAGTGGAGTGTGACAGGGAAATACTCCTACATCCAGCAGTGTGAGGACTCCTGCACGTAACTGTGAGCAAAGTAGCCTACTTCCAGTTCCAAAGTGACCCACACGGGAGAAGTGAAAACGTGAGGGTGTGTCCCTGTGGACAGGTCTGCTGCACTGCATTGTTCATCACTTCTTTTTTCACTATTACATGTAGGACATGTGAACAGTCAGTGCTGTCTCTGAAAACATGATGCTATAACCTATTGTATCTGAGCTTTCTTGACAAATTAACTCCGGCCACATAGTGCCATCAAGCAGCTCTGACTGGACACATAATTATTGTTTGGAGTCAAGTTAGTTACAAAATATCCTTTTATAATCTATTTTTTCTGACCTTTGTACCACTGTTAAACAGTCACAAGTTTCACCACACTTGACTTCCTTCTTCTTCTTTGTAACGGTTTCTACATGATGCTTGTATCAGAACGTATTTGGGGTCCCTACAGTGCACGTGATTCCAGCCCATTTCTGCAATTTCTGCTGGCATAACAAAAGAGCATCCATCATTTCCAAAGAAACTCACATAACCTTTGGTGCCATCTATCACAACATGGTTCTTTCTTTCTTTTTTACCGGAACAGATTCTTTGTTTCAGTCTGCAGCTACACTTCTGTCAGTCACTGCTTTAGTGACGCTTCTGATCATGTTACTAATAATACAAGGAGAGAATAGTGATGACAGCTAACAGCCCCGGCCTGTCTTTAAGAACCCACAGAGAACTATAATCAGTTCAGTGATGTTGCACAAAAGGCATTCAGCATTTTGAAGTCGACTAACTTGAGTCTCAAAGTTAAAGGCAGCAATATCATAATCTTTCTACTTATCTATTTACTCTGTTTGTTTGTGTGAGCATAAACATTCCCTCCAAGTCACAACATGAAAAACCCTCTCACTCAGTAAAGCTGAGTCGTCATCACCCCAAATGCTAGTTCTATAAATGTCATAGACAGAAATGTGAGAGAACTTCACAGAAGGACCAGTTTGTACTTAGGTTGCAGATGGGTTGAAAAACTCTACCCTGGTTTGACTTTACTTCCTGAAATATCATTCGATTTCCTGTTTGAAAAACACGACAAAATGTGTGACGCATGCCGTGCCTCATGCCTCATCTCTTATCTGTGCATGAACGTGCCTTAAAAAAGGAGAGGAAGAAACACAATCTGTAAATCAGACAAGTGTTCTACACGGTCAATAGCTAGACACAACTGGCAAACATTTTCATATTAAATCATATTAAAATGTGCAAAGGTCTCTGAAGTGTTGGTAGGCAAAAAACATTGTGTTGAATATTTGCGCATGTATCATAAACCAACTACAAACAGTTGTTGGTAGCTTTATGTATGATTCATATGACGGTTAGTTGCAGCCCTACTTGTGACTCATTGATCATTGGAGCCTAAACCACACCATCCCAGTTTGACTTTGCCACAGTAGCAAGGTGCCCATATATTTGGCTGCTGGTTTGAAGCAAAATCCCACCAAGCTGTGTGCACGCTCCAGTGACAAGAGCCACCTGTGGAGAATTGCTGAGCTGTGTCTGCTTCTTTAAGGCAGAGACCGAGATTAAAGAAACAAGTGTCTGGATCCCATTGAGCCCACTAAGGAAAGCAGAAGCAAGCATCTGGTTGTAATACATTACATTCTGAAAAGGTTCAGTGTCAGAAGAAGAAAGAAAAAAAACTTTTCCAGACCCAAAGATATACATGAAAGCCCCTTAAGCACCTCAGGGCTGTGTTAGCTTTGCATGGCTACCTGGGTAGAGGAGTTTCTCAATCGGGCATTGCAACAGAAAAGTAAAACTACATAGATAACACTTGGAAAATGTCAATAATTTGAAGTGCCAGCGGCTGTGGCAGTGAACTTGGATCAGCTAAATAATTCAGGAATATTGCTGAGTGCTTCCTTCTTTTAGAGAAAGGAAAACACAAAGATGATGTCATTGTCTCCAACCCCTTTTAAAACTACCAATAGGCATTTTTGACTGAAATATGCATCAGGGCAAAGAGTGCTCCATAATGCACATCAGACCAAATGTCTCAGCAAAAATGCATTGCATGAATGTGCCACAGCAAATGTTCAGAAATGTGAAGGAAAACTACATTCCGCAAATGTTTACACTAAAAGGAGTGCAAAAGAACCCTCTTTTGCGTACAAATGCCAGCTTCGTGTAGTAACCTGCAGGCATGTGTGTCCATGTTGTATGAGGAGCAAAGGAACGCCGACTGGAAACCTATCAGCAGCCTCTTTAAACACGGAACAAATTCTGCAACCTGCCAGCACCTCTGCGCATAAAATAACATCAGCCGTTTAAACAAAACCCCAACAAAAGGAATTCCGCTTCCCAGAACTGTTCATTATTGAGTCATAAAAATAGCTCGACACGTGCCTATATTCATCATTATTGTTTTTCCCCTCAGACGCTGGCCTACATCTATGACTGGGAGCCTGAACATGGAGAAACACTTGAACACAGAGGTCGGATGATAACAACGACAGGTTTCCTTGAAAAGTAGATTTCAGTGGGATTAAAAAAAGTGACATCATAGCAGAGGCATGAGTAAGATGATGAGGTCATTGGGTCCCTTACTTGGCCATCATCTGCTGCTCACAAATGCTTTAAATAGTTTGATTAACCAAATTCAATGCAAACGAGTTGGGTGGCAATTTACCATCCAGCTTCCTATTGAGAAAAAGATTACAGTTCTGGATATATTTGGACTCAAATCTGTGCATTTGCTGCAACTAATAAGACAAGCAGTTGAGCCTCCATTACAACGCCATCTATCATTAAACAACAGTCTTTTTTTTCATACAACTATTGGGTGCAGGAAAAAAACGAAGAAGAAAGAAAATAGACCTAATCTAACCTGGTCTACCTGCTGTCCAGACTGCCTGTGATAAAGGGGGGCATTCACCTGTTTGTTACACGTGTAACACATGGTTATAAAAGCAGGGCTACCGTCGCTGCCGCAGGGGGACACACGCAGACTGCTGTGCTACATTATGAGGGGGTGTGTGTGTGAGTGTGTGTGTGTGTCCAACGTGGGTTTGAAAAGCCCAAATATCAACCCAAAAAAAAAAAATGGGTCGCCGGTTGGCTTTTCACCCCCTAGCCCGCGTCGCCTCTGACGCCGTGACACACCGGGAACAAATCGTAAATAAGCTCCGGTAATTACCGTATCAAATTAGCCCCCCCGGTTTAGCTAACGTCGGTGAGGCTTAACGGCTGCGGAGTGGCGCACAATGGAGGCGGTTTAGCGGTAAAAAACGGGAGCGCTTCGTTGTGACCCGGCAGGGGGGGTGTTTATTTTCACGAGAACCGTTACATAGCCTCGATAACCGACGGGCATTGAGGGGCACAAGTGCGCCGGGACTCACCCATAGCTCCGACCCCCAGCTCATGGTTTCAGCGCGATGTCCTCGGAATAATCCACAACTGGAAGGAGATGTTTTCAGCACACACACACACAGCAGCGACGAGACGTGATATTTTTTTATCTGGAAAAAATAGTTCGCTTGTCACCAAGCACGGCCCCCAGCAAACGCTCCAGTGTTTTATTTTTTTTTCAATTTTCTTGGCTTTCAGAGCTTCATCGTGTATGACACAAGATGGCCAAGAGCTGCAGCAAAATCTTCAAACAGGATAGTCTCGCTATATGCAGCGCGCGCGCGCGCCCGCCCTATTTCAATGACAGCTGCTCGCGCGCGTGCACGCGCAGGGGTGGAAAAATAAAAGCTTGACGGGGGGTTGATGTCACTGCGGGGCTGTCCAACAACGCCTCTATTGCTCTGCATATCCTGCGAGATTGAGCAGGGGAGAGAGGCTCTGTTTTTCAAATGCAGATGATCGAATGCAGGGTGAGGGGGGATGAAGAAGAAGGGGGGGGGTCAGAGGTCACCACCCTTGGCAGATGTTTTATTGAGGGCTCCAAGAGGGTTTAATCCTAACCCCTGTGTAACTAACCCACCTTTCTCTACTTGGCTTTGTCCCCTGCCCCTGCATAGTTTTGGCAAGTCTAGGTGCACAAGGTTTTCCTTTTCAAATCACTGCTTTCTTTATTCAAAACTCAGAGCGAAGTTGGAGTTTTATTCTGTCTTTAGATCACTATGATGAGATATATATTAGAAAAAGGAGCCCTGACAGCCCTGTATGTACTGTCTCAATCATAGCAGCAGATCACGGTTAAAGTTTGCTAACAGTCATTAAAGTCAACAGGAAATCTGTCTTTTCTCATCAAATACCAGCTACAAAATAACAATTTAATTGGAAGACATCCATTTAACTCGTTTGTTTAGGCGTGAAAACACTTGCTATTAACAAATGAATTAATTGGTATCTAAAGTTTCAGTATTACGGCCTCTTTAAGGCTGGAAATGCTAAAGTGATGAAATTCAATTAGGTGATGATGATGGGATCCCCACAGCTACAACAACACTGACATCTAGTGGACAAAAACAGAAACACAGCCATTTTGGAGAGAGGAGATGGACACAGGATTGATTATTTCCTAGAAAGCTGAGACCAAGATATTTAGACATAACTAGCTTAACATAATCAACTTATTGGACATGTGAATGCAGCTTCACAAGGCTGTGACTGATTTGGTACAAATGATTTTGTTCACCAGTCGGGGGAGCACAAGAGCCTTTTGTGCCATTGAGAGACAATTGAAGTAACATAAACATGGATGTGTGTTAATATGGTAAGCTTTTCAGATATAACTCCTGTATAAATTTCTCAAAGCTTAGTAACATTTTTATTTCCATATTCACAGTATAGATTTACTTCTGCTCTTTTGACCAGCAACAAAGTTTATTTTTAAAGTTGTCTTATGTGACTTTGGCCCTTTTTATATGCAGAAGTGTGCAGTTTTCATTTCTTCAACAATGTTTCTTTCAGATCCTTGTGAGTGTCGATGCTGGTGTATCAACATGGAACTTAATTTGGTTCATACGTGCAGCCAAACAAGTCACACTCGCTGAACTCTAAAGAAGGACACGTCAGAGAAGAACATGGGATTTTAATGAACATTTGTTTATCAAGTGCTGTACTTTTTTGTGTTGTGTTTTTATGGTTTAAAAATCTAAATATGTTGTTTAATCTGGTTATGCTGTGTTTTGGTTTGTTGTGGTGTTCTTTGTAATGTTGTCACATGTTTTTTCATGATTTCCTTGTGCAATGTACAGTGGGCGAGGCATTTGTACAATGCAATATTGTTTATTTTTGTTACTACTTCACTTTCCAAATTTCCTCCTTTTATTTCTGTAAGCATTCACAGAATACAGTCTAGGCATCATTCCCTACTTTTACCACAAAAAACTAAAACCTTTCACCCATATGAAACACCTTTCAAATGCACACTTACAACAATAAAGTTATATAAGAGAAAACTTCCCCATTTATAGTAAATAAGCATGCCAAATTGATTAATTTGACCACTAATGTCTTTCATATTAGAGTTTTGGAACAGGTAATCACTTCTTGGCTCTTCTTTTGCATTGGAAATAATGAATGATACTTACATTCACAATAAAGAAATGCTACTGATAAAAAAATGCAGATTTGTTACCGGTGACTCTAGTTCATTGACTTAGGCTCCATTTTACAAACAATGTCACGCCACACCAGTTCAAAGGCAAACTCTCCTAACTTGATGTTGACATTACATCCACTCGCAAAGTGTCGGAGCAGGTTTCATTTCCTGAGACAGTGACGATAACTCGGATCCAGTCTTTGTCTTATGAGTTAGAGGCGTACAGCAGGGACACCTCAAGGCTGGACAATCTGATCAGGTGAGCCAGCTTTGTGGTGGTGTTGGCTGAAAGACGAGTGAAGAAATTTCCTGTCTTTCTGGGTGACACCGGACATCATCGGCCTACAATCCTCATCATCAGAAGAGCTTGATCATTGACAGCCAAAAGCTCCTTCAGTGCTGCATAAAGACTGAAAAAGCTCCTTGTTCCCAGAGCCATCAGTCTGAACAACTCCATTTTGGGGCGATTTAGAGGACTAAATGGTCTGACTGTTCATAGAATGTACTTATGTCGTATGCTCTGACATGTATTATTTGTAATTTAACCATAAAATTGACATCTATATGAATGTGTGTTTTCAAGAACTCTTTCACCACTCGCTGAATAAGTAAATAGTATATTGCCACTAGTTTTGCTCAAGAGGACACTTTTTGATGAAGTTTAGAGCTTGAGTATAGAACTGATTTGGATCAATGCATATGTTTTACCTTTTTTACCTTTATACCCCCCTCACTACTCTTTCTGTGCTTCCCTCTATCTTTCCGCTGTCATCACTGACTCTGACTGGGGATTTTCCTCCGGAGAGCTTATTGTCAGATTATTCAAACACTGTGTCTACTTTGTAAATCGCTTTGGATAAAAGCGCCTGCTAAAATGCATAAACATAAGCATGAACACATCAGGATTTAGGTTGAGTCGGTTCCAATGTGCCAAATTATAAGAAACAGAGGTCCTCATGATAGCAAAAGTGTGATTGTCAGTTCAAGTGGACAGTGTCAGATTATGGCCGAGGAAGGGATGATCACCACTAATCCAATCATGCGTGTTTTAATCTGCCGTCGAACCAGTTTTATAACAGGGATAAGGAGAGAGAATCCTGATAGGCCAATTACGGGAGAGTTAAGTTGGCATGTTTAACCACATGGCGCCTAAATAAAAAGCCCCCAAAAGAAGTTTGACTGTCATATATCGAGAAGCAATAGTCTGAGTGAACATAGTGTAAGTCAGCCTGGTTCAAGATTTGAAATAAAGATGTAATTGATAACGTCTGAAACAGTGAGAGTGAAGCAACCGGAAATAGAAAAAAAAGCACCACCGATGACGACTAGACTCCACCTCATGATGCCATTTAGCAACAGATGAGCAACGCTGCATGTTCGTTTCTTCTGCGGCCACAGTCCAGCCTTGCCGTCACCGCAGCGCCCCACAGGGAGACTTACCAAGTGTGTAATGTTTGTCGGGGTCGCGGCGTGGGCCCTCTCACTTGCTCCGTAGTTGTCTTACGAGCTAGCGGTTTCTTCATCCGACCCCGCGAGCGTCGTTGCTGGCCGCGAGTTTCTCCCGTGCGCCGCTATGGATGTGCTGTGGATGGTGCCGCTGCTGCTGATCCCGTTCCTGATGTGGACCAGCAGCACGTTCGTTTTTTATTTCAAAAAGTGCTTCTACGTCGCCTGGATGATGCTCCTGGCCCTGCTGGGGATCCCCATGTGTATCCTGAAAAGCGGAGGCAGAGACGTTGAAAACATGAGGTGAGTTTGAAACGTCGCTGGCAGCGCCGTCTGACAGCTAGCCTGCGTTAGCTCGTTAGCCGGTTAGCATGTGCAGTTGTTGATATTAAACATTGGAATTTGGCTCGCTATCCGGTCTCAGTCTGGCACGCATTTAGAGTGACACATATGTGCTGTAAGAACAGAGGGTGTATACTATAACCCTAAACATGTAACTTTATTTGGAGCGAAATAACAAAATAATTCTCAGTTCATTTTAATCACACAAATGCTACATTGGCCCCTTTGACCCATTGGCACTTGGGAGGTGTTAACGTTAGCAGATGCGGTTCACTCTGATTTGTGACGTTCAAGTAAGTGAGAACATACCTGTACCACCACGGTATTTGTGCTATTTACGCTGTAAAGAAGGGTTTCAACTACGTTCCCATTCACACTCATGTTATATAATTTGCATTAAGTGATAACATCAGTCAGTCATTGTTTATTTGTATCCCTGTCCCTACAGAAACTATGAAACAAATTCAGTTAAAACTACTGGCAATCTATGATGAACTGACTTTTCTGTGGGATGCTTAAACGCACACGCGCTCTCCAACTATCCAATTCAACATTGCTTTAAATTATGACATCTTTATTATTCTGACAATCTGTTTTCTGTCTTCTTTTTTATGCATTTGACTCAGTCATTGAGGTTCTAAACAGATCTCACGTAATTTCCTTTGATGTTTGCTTTATCTCCAACCATTGTTCTGATATTCAGTGTCGCACAGATAATTATAACGTTTTCACGATTCTTTACAGATAAAGTGAGTAGGTTAAGTGAAAGCTGATAAGGTGGTAATTAACTCATTATTATCAGTGTTTACTTTACAGCAGGGGGGTGGGGGAAGCTTTCTTTTGCTGGATCTGCTGGACCTCAGTAAGGATGGATAGCGCCACACACAAAACGACTTCACCCCAGCTATTGCCTTGAAGAGACGTGTGCCAGCGCGTTTCTCGTGATTAGATTTCGGGCGACTGAATAACGAGGCCCATCGTGTCTGTAGGACCTCACTTGGCCCTGACCTGCTGACAGCGGCCCTGCCAGCTGCAGGAGTGGACCTCGCTGCCTCGGTGCTTCCCAGTCACGCCAGCCCTGGTGTGATGGTGGTGTCATGTTGCAACGCTGTACCGTCCCGTTGGCTCAAAGGTTATCTGGACCTGTTGACTTTGACAAAAGGGACTGGTTAGGGGTCAGACCTTTAAAGACAACATGAAGGGTTTTTTTATTTTATCCTATTGAATGCATGTCTTACATGCCTGCCAGGCGTAGCAGAAAGGGCTCAGTCATTCATCAGAACAGAGGGGTCTGTCACAGGCTTTTCCCGTCGCACAACGCCTGAATTCTGGGATGGACTGCTGACTTCGCAGCAGACTAAGTTGACTTGTATGTATATTTGTAAGCTAATAACTCACAAAAGCCTTGTGTGTGCTCAGTCACTCAGGAAAAAACAAAAAATCAGGACAGGAGTGTTCCTGATACGCTCCTGTTGGTTCTAAGCTTATTATCAGCGTTATACAAACTTAGAATTGCGTGTGATATTTCCATGAATGAACCAGCGTACTTCTGAGTATTTATCTGGAATTGATTTATTAGCTTGGAGCTCATAACACACTTGAGGTATGGAAGCTTAGTCTGCTCACTCACAACTGCTCCAGCTCAGGTTCCACATTGTGTAATGGCCTCTTACATCAGTGGGGGACCGATATTGTGCCAGGGCTGGCGGTTATGTTTTCACTGAGACCAGGGGATTACAGGCGTGTTGCTGTACATATTTTTAGACTGTAGACTCCATACTGCTGAGCAACTTTAATAATCCCTGAAAGAACCTTTTTTTTAATTTTTTTTAAAACTAACCATTACATAATCCTAATGTCAAATCAGAGGGAGAGACTTCTAAAGACATGGCCACACACTTCTGTGGATGAAGCCACACACAGACTGTTGATATAACTTTCTTCTGGCTCCGTCAGGTTTATCTCTTGCCTTTGTTTGCGAGACATTTCTAATGTTGGCCGTTCCTGAAGCCAAATGTCTGCTAATCACGATGGCAATCTTAGATTTTGGATGCAATTATGGTCTATAGTTCATAGTCCAACCATCTTGACCTGTCTTTTTTTTTTTTCCTTTTACCTTTCTTAGTGAAGTGATCATTAACTTTGTCACTGTGCCCTGCCCTGCACAACCTTCTGACCCTTAGCCTGTGAGGGGTATGTTAGCAGCGGTATGTTTGGCAGTTCTGAAGTTAAGTTAAAGTTCATCATGTCTTTATTTATTATACTGAAATGTATATATCTATATAAAAGGTCTGGCTAGAATTGAAGATGAGTAAATAATTAGTTGGTTAATAATTAAAATCAATCCCTCCTGATTTTTTTATAAACATGTCAGTCTTTTTTTTTTTTTTACAAAGTTAAATATGCTGTGTTAACATGATAAAAGTCCAGAAAATGATATCAAGAAGGTCACATGGTAAAACAGCTGCATCAGTGAATGACAACGCCCACTTCTTTTTCTCTGGTGCATTTCTGATACAATAAGCTTATTGTGCGGCTTTTATTCTTCTAGAAAGGCCTAATATGTTCTCTCTAATCATGAAATGTAATCACAACAGTAACAGATCAATTGGAGTGCAGCACCTATGTTTAGCTGTGTGCATCATGACTGTCGGTAACCCGGCCATGTCGGTGTCCAGTTACCACAGTCCTTAAAAGAACACGGACTGGCACGCCGCCATCGGTTGAAGATCACTGGTTATCACAAGCTGGGACTGGTTGTGGTTCTAATGGGGGATGCAATCATTAAGCCACTGCCGACGGAATCCAGTTCTTTCATTTCTCTTGTTCCTTGCTAGTCACCTGACAGCCTCTGTGTGCAACTGCAGACTAACTCAATTAGTTTTGACTTGGTTAGTGGGACACGTGGCGCAGAAGGCCGCCAAAGAGCTGTTTGAGTGCTGCACCATCTGCTCTGAAGGAAGATATCTCAGCCCCCAGAAGGTCAGAGAAGAAGCAGGAAGAGCTGAGGACTTGTATTTTGTTAAAATAAAATTAAAAATAAAAAGCTATAAAAAAAAAATGATTAAGTTCACCTCTGTTGTCATGTTAACATACTTTATAAACAGCTACCAGGAGAGCTAGTTTCTGAATGGACAAACGGATACAGAACATCACGTGGAAGCATTTATCATGAAGGTTAATGCCACTTGAAGATGATTATATCACTCCTACAGAAAAGAACAGACAGCGTGTGACAGTAATCTTTTTTTTATTTTTTATTCTGATTTAGAAAACCTCTTTGTTGAGGTCTTGACATTTTTTTTTTACGTTTTCATGTCCTTGATTAAAATTTGCTCCTCCTAACAGCCATAGTGGCAAAGTCTGAAACTATCATTTAAAACATTTCTGACATTGAACTGAACTGCTGGAAGTTTAGTAGAATCAGGGACAACCAGAGGAGCAAGTGGATGCAAGCAATGAAAGCAGATTCAAAGGAGGATTTTCAAACTGGCTGAAGATAAAGTTGCTCTGAGAGTGAAGGGAATTCAAGCTGGTGCCACATCAGGGGCCACAAAGCTTTGGAAAAAGCATTTAGCCAAAACGTGGAGGGGGCATGTGCTCCAGGCAGATTAAATGGTACCTCCCCTGTGCCCTTTTTCAACAATGACAGGATATGCCCAAAAACAGGCACCCCGCTGAAGGCGGCTCTGTTTATCTGCTTGCTTTGAACAACACCAGAGGCTTTCTTAATCAGGGCAGAAGTCAAATGAGAGTCATCATCTGTGTCTGCATTCCGGTCAAAGTTTAGAGAAGTTAAACCGTCAGGGTGTAAACCGGAGACATCCATGTGAGGCAAATCTCTCTCTTTTGCTCCGAAATGACCATTATTCATCATCAAAAATGGAATTTTATGATGCAATTCTTTATGCCACCCAGCACACATACATTGTATCCAAAATTGAAATACAGTTGTTCATTTTTTGTTTTTTTGTTGTCATTCTGTTTATCACGCTGCTATCAGACGGAAGCCATAAATCCTGGCAGATGCAGGCAGACAAACAGATGGTAAGATGTTGTTCAAAGGCAATTGGAGCGTTCTGCTTACCTCCAGCAGCTGTTTAATTACGACTAGTACTAATAAACAGCTGAAGGCACGACCCCAACATGGTTCTCCTCGTGTCTCTTTTTTTCTTTAAATGAAGTGATGATTTGGTTTGATTGATTTGCAATTCCTCATTCATTCCAAAATGTTGAGGTTGATGTTATTTTCAGGTCAAATTGTAATGAAACCTTTTTTCTTTCTTTCTTCTTCTTCTTCCTCCGTAGGGTCATCCGCTCCATGGTCCGCCACGTGAAGTATCTGCTGGGTCTTCGGTTCGAAGTGAGTGGTTGGGAACATCTGCAGTCAGAGGGTCCTTACGTCATCATCTCCAACCACCAGAGCTCCCTGGATGTTTTGGGTGGGCATCCTAGAACCTTTCTGAGCATAGAAGCATTTTCTTTTTAGATAAACAGTTTTGAAATGGCAGATTTCAGGCCCAAACTTTACGCTTTAGAGCAATACCAATGAGATATCTGTGGAACGAAGTCATCAGTGATCGGGATCATCAGTGATCCCAGAAATTAAAACTGCTCGGTCTACATGTTGTGTGCTTTGTGATCTGACCAGGATGAAAATCACCAAATCGGATACAGCTTTCAGACAAACGGATCCCCACATGTATTCAGTCTTACAGAGCCCTTTTAGCCAGCTGTTGTAGCTCTTGAAAACAACTGTTCCCAACTGGTAGATGAGATAAGACAGCTCTACAGCCAATATAATGGATTTAGTATAGTAAAAAAAACAAAAAGAAAAAAGAATGGCAAAACCTGGGCAGTATTTATCCATTCAGCACGTCCACTCTTCAGAACGACTGATGTTTTTGTAAAATAACATTATATTATTCAGGACACTGGTACTGAAAAGCTCAGAAATCAGATCAATCTCACTGCTTATGTTGAGTTATTAATGGAAATGTTGGGAACTGCAGTTACAAGGTTTTTTATTGCAATAAATGCCAGCATTAAAAGCTTTTTTTTGTTTTTAATCTTTAACAAGTGAATTGTAATGAAACCTTGAACCAAGCAGAGATTTTCAGCTCCAAGAATAGTCCAAGATGGCTGTGCAGATGGCCGCTTTTTTCATTTGCTGGTCTTCAGAGACTTGACTAATGTCATAATTACTGGACCAGGGAAGGATAGCTATACATTCAGCCCTGCTTTGCTTTGAGCTTTTGAACACTTCAGACACTCAGTTTTGGACCTTTTTGTCCCCCGTTTCCTGCTTTGTTCCCCATGCAGGTAACAATAAGTGCCTCTCCCTTAAAGAAAACAAGAAGTAGCTAATTCTGCTTTCTGGTAATTGGATGTTGGATAACCAGTTGACATCTTCCTCCTCATGGTGGTTTAAGTGGTGAGAGACTTGACCATAAAGTGGTGAATAACAGATTTACAGACAGAGAAAAAATATTAAAAATCGGTCTGTTTCCTGCTTTGAGTGCGCTGATTTCTGACCTGGATTGGTTGGTGCCTGGGTGGCATAAGAAACCATCCCCTGACTATGTAGACAAACAACTGGCTGTTGACCTGAGGGGTTAATGAGGCACACATCGCTGACCCACTCTCACATTTCCGCCACATAATTCAACTAATTCAGCAAAACACACAACGCTGATTTAAAGTGAGGTGTGTGTCAAAGTAGCCAAAGCAGATGGAGATGGTCAGAGTCGCCGTGTCTGCATTCTTGTTCTGTGGCTGCTTTAAGAATAAATAAATACATTGAAAAAAGACCTGCTACTGCTCAGTTTTAAGTATTGAGAATTATTCATTCATTTCCCCGCCAGAACACAAACTGGAGTGCCATGTAGCCCAATCCTGTTCTCATTAGTCAGTCTACAGAAAGCCTCTCTCTTTAATTCCTCTTCAGTTAAAGTGTGTTGAAAATGTATTTGCTTTTGCTTTTTGTTGAATTCCTATGGACATTTGTCTCTGGCTTAAATATGACTGGAAAGGATGGTAATTTAGCAGAGATGTGTTTTCCTTTTCCTTTTTTTCTTCTCTCCATCAGAGCCCAGGGGAGCGTTTCCGTGGGGTTGAGTGATGAGGGCAGGATCAAGGCCAGTGTAGTGACAGCACATGAGGGCCAGGCATCTAATTAGCACAGAGTAAACACGGCATGAGGCCGATTTGGCGTCCACGTTACCTTGACAACCGCTGCACCCAGCCATTAACGGCAGCTCCTGGTGGAGTGGATGTGTTAAAACGCTTTGGAGCGGAAATCCTCACCTCACTTTCACCAACGAAGCGGCATTGTAAACACTCGTGTTTCTCATTATTTATTCAGCAGACGTTTGGTGTCGTTCGACATCTCACTACGTCTTCACAGGGGCTGGTCAAACACGCCTGTTAGTAAAAGGAAAGATATCTGCCCCGGCATCGCCTCAGGCTTCATATCAGATAGAAACCAGATTCTTACACGGCCATTTAGAGATTAAGTGGAAAGGTCAAAGCTCATTCCAGACTGAGTATGGGGACTGCTTTGGTTTATTTGCTTTGGTTTGCTTTAGCTTAATTTAGTGGTCCCAGTGTTGAACTTTCCAAAGATTTAGAAAAAGAAAAAAATAGCCTTTTCCAGTTCTTGAAGAACAAGCTTCTTATCTGGTGTCTCAGGCCTGATGGAGATCTTACCCGACCGCTGCACCATGATCGCCAAGAAAGAGCTGGTTTACGCCGGCACGGTGGGCCTCATCTGCTGGCTCGGCGGCATCGTCTTCATCAACCGCAAGAAGACCAGCGACGCCAAGAGCGTGATGGCCGACGCCGCCCAGACCATGCTGGACGACCAGGTAACCGGCCGGTTCGGTCAGCGTCTCCCTCGTCCTCGTTCCGCCTGAGCTGAAAGTCACCGTTTCCCCTTTTTGACTCTGGCAGATCCGGCTGTGGGTGTTCCCAGAGGGGACGCGGAACCAGAAGGGCGACCTGCTTCCCTTCAAAAAGGGGGCTTTCCACCTGGCCGTGCAGGCACAAGTGAGTACGCAGTGTCCGCTTCTCTATCTCCTGTTTTGAGTCCCGTGCTCCGGCACCAGCTGCAGGGCTCTCGCTGCCTTCCAGGAAACTTCTGCGAGCCTTTCGGAGGCCGCCGTACCGTGCTGCTTCCAGGCACACGGGGGAGCCACAAGTCCTGTGTGCGCCGCGAGACCCAGTCAAAATCCGACCACGTTCACTACATAAACGGCGCCAGTTACAGCCAGGCTTGAAACCGTCGGAAAAAGTTATCTGTGGCTTTTTTTTTGCTCTAAGAATCCGATTCGAAGCCCCTCCCTTTTGTTTTCCAGTCAGTGCCGTTGCACAGTGTCCGCAGAGTCATTCACAGCTGTCTGCGTGCGTGCAGATGGGGTCGTGTGTGTGGGGGTCCCAACACACCCGAGAGCTCAAAGAGGTGGAATCAGTTATTTTACAGACAAATCTCTCCAGAATCCACAACGTCGGTCCCCCAAAGAAGTCTTTTCTTTTGCTTTTCCTAAAGATGAATATCACTTTGGTTCAGATGTGCATCGGAGCTGAAACGCTACAGAAATAAAATACTCTCATTTCCAAAATCTGTACTTAAAAGGAAAGCAACCAAAAAAAAAAAAAACGTCTTTATGCGTGTGCGTGTCTTGGATTTACATTAGAGGCTATTTTGATCTCTGTTTGATTCTGCTGAGTTACAGTGGAGCCTTTCCATTTGTACTCAGCCAGCCAGATTGAGTGGAAGCAGGACAGCCCCCAGGGGGGCAGAAACGTTTGGCTCAGCCTGTCCTGTTGAAGGGGCTCTGAGGGCCTCCAGAGAGCAACTCTATTAGCAGCCCTGAAAGAGACAGAGATTGCTGGAGTCACGCTGAGTTTGTGTGTGTGTGTGTGTGTGAGAGAGAGAGAGAGGAAATTTGACTCAATCATTTCTGCGATTGTTCACCCTTTTCTGTGCTGAAGCAATCAAGTTCCTTAACGTGATGCATGGTCCTTTTTTTTTTTTTTCAGGTTCCCATCATACCCGTCGTTTTCTCCAGCTACAGCAGCTTTTACCTACGGAAAGAAAAGCAGTTCAAATCAGGTACCTCCGCCTTTTCTTCTTTTTTTTTTTTTTCTCCACCCACTGGGGTGGATTTATCTGCTCCTGTCGTCCTGTCGAGTCCTCTGACGGGGCGGCTCTCTGTATCTGCAGGGACCATCCGATTGAGAATCCTACCAAAGATTGAGACGAAGGGGATGACGTCGGACGACGTGTCCTCCCTGTCCGACAAGTCCTACGACGTGATGCGCTCGGCTTTCCTGGACATCTCTGGCACTGTAACCCGGAGCAACGGGCCCTTAAGGCACTGAACACTTGCCGCTGCCCCCGCATCTTTTTTCTGCCCCTCTTATCGGAGAGAACTCCCCCACCCCCTCCTCCCGACCCCACCCCAGAGCTCCCCGCTTTCCCCCAGACTGTCCCATCCGCTGGCCAGGAAACGACACGACGCGGGTCTCCTCTCGTCCGGTCCGCCTCCGGCCTGACCACTCGGCACAGCCGCACGCCGCGAGTGGAATGACGGGCGGATGGACGGGCAGGCGGGCGGGCGGTCAGCCGACCAGTGTGGATGTGTGTTGCTCATGCATGCCTTTTGGGATGGCCCTCTCCGCCTTCGTCCTCGCTCTGGAAAGCCTTTCTCTGTCATCGTCCGACCTCATCATCGTCGTCCGCTGCTTTCTTTTGCCTCTCTTCTTTCCCCCCCCCCCTTTTTGTCTGCTTCTGCCTTCTGTCCAGCAGATACTTTTCGGCCTCTCTCTTCTCTGTTCGTAAACGTCGCCGGATGTTTACGAGCTCCTCTCGCACAGCCTCAGTCTCTGCTCTCCGCGGACACACATGCGCACGCACACGTTCAAAGCACCCCATCTTCTTCCCTCCATTGCTTTCCGTCGCTTCTCCCCCTTTCCCTGCATTCCAGTCTCCTGCGTGCAGACACACACAGCCGGGTCTCCACAGACGGCGGAGCGCGTGGAGGCAAAGGTCCCGTCACTATTCTCCATCTCCTTGTTGGCGGATCGCCCCGTGAAGTACTTTACAATGCCCAAAGGAGGGGGATGCAATATAGCGTATTTAACAGTCGCACCCATCTGTTCTGAATTAATGGACCCGCGTGAACTTCCCGTGAATCCGTTTTCAGTGTCGTGTGTTGTCGGTGTGTCGCGGTGCGCTCTTTCAGGTTCTTTTCAAAAGGGCAACAACAGCCAGCGTGCAGCAGCGAGAGTCTCCGGGTTGTTGTTTTTGTTTCGTTTTTTCTTCAGGGGGGACGGAGGGTCTATTTATTTCTACACCAGATCATTTCATTTTGGTTGAGTTTTAAAAGTGGTCACATGTTTTTTCTTTGTTTTTTTTTTCTTTGTTCCTCCGTTGGCGCTCATGGCTGAACCTATTTAAGATGTGTCAAAACAAAAAGGAGGCTTCGTGTACAGAAGTGACGCTGTTTTTAGCATTACAGTTCCAAAGTGCGAGCTACCTGCTGTGCCATCACAAAGACTGTGGAAGTTTTCCCTGTTTATCTTATTATTATTCATTTAATCAGTCTTATACTAACTGATTACAATTTATTCATGATATAAGATGGATTTTTCTTTTTTTTTTTCTTATCTGTTGCATTATTCTCTAATTGCAAACAATCCTAACAGGTTTAATAACTTAAAACGTGTTTTGTTGACTGTCTAAATGAAGAATGGTCCCTGATTTTATTAACCCGAAAGCGAGAAACTGTTTTAGTTGTGATTTTTTTTTTTTTTTGACTGAGCTCTAACTTGACCTTTGCGGGGAGTATTAGATTATTTAAATGTTTGCAGGAATTTTGGCCTTACCTTTGATTGGTCATTGCACTTTGGATTGTTGGACACGTTTTCATATTATCAATCTACATTTTGTAACATGTTCTGACAATAGCTACACAGAACTGACTGAACTGTTTTTACTTTCACATCCAGGTCTTAATTTCGCTCACTGCCTTCACACTTTCGCCTCTTCTGCCCATCCAACACCATCTGAGAATGTACTACAGCATTTAGGATAAGGTTTAGTTCCAGTTTTTTTTTTGGTTTCATTTTAGTAAAAGTGGGACGCGACCTTGCATACAGCTGGCATCAAATCTAGATGTTAATCAGGCTGTAGATGTTAAATTTAGACGAACCTGTTTGTTCACACAGATGCTCTAATGAATGACTTTATCTATATTTAGATACTACTGTACATCCCTGCTGTTCAGAGTTGAATGGAACAGTAGTTGTAGTGATTCCTGCTTTAAGTAAGTGCAAAGGTGAGGATTTCCTTTGTTTAGGGTTGGTAAGGAATATATGGTAAGGAATATATGCTCTAGCTACTAATAACCTATTTTTGTTCTAGTTTACAGATGTATTCAACTTTTTTTTTTTTCTAAGAACAGATTTGACCTCTGTAGTGAGAATGTTATGAAAGCACTCTACCAAATTGTTTTATTCCAAAAAACAGAAATTATACCATATATCATTTTCAGAAATTATCCTATTTCCTGTTTGTTTTTCGTTTGTTTTTGTTTTTCCTGCGGGAGAGATTTGTAAGCTTTGCGGCACGAGCCCGAACCAACGGAATCTGCAACCACCCAAAAGTTTGTGAGGTTTCTGGTCTATTGAAAAAGATTCAAAGTATTCCCAACCTTATCGAAGCACTTTCCAAGTTAAGTTCAGGTGTGCAAACTTTGTTTTTTTTTTCTTTCACCAAAGTGTAATTTGGATGGATATGAGAAATGGAGCTGACATCCTGCAGAGCCTTTATGTGTGCGTGTGTGTGAATGCGTGTTGGATTTGTGAGTGCACGGATGCGTGTGTGTGTGGTCCTTTACTGTATGTGTGGGTGTGTGTGTAAATATGCACACGTGGTATAAATGCCCATTAAAGTATCCAGTTAATGTTGATGGTTATAGTGATCTTGATTTCACCTGTTCTGGATAAATGTGAATGCCTTGCATAAAAAGAAATAAACCTTTTTTTTTTTTTTTTCTCAAATTGTTCTTGAACTGTGTTTGCCTTTTTGTTTTCTTTTTTTTAAGGTTTCCTCAGAGTCTGAAGACCTGCACTTTCCGCTCCTTTTAACTCATTTTCTCACACATTTCAGATAAATCACATCTCTACTTTATCACTTTCCGTGTCGACTTCTGTGACCTAAGTTTTGATTCACAAGTTTTATTTCTTAGAGGAAAATGTATATTAGGATAGCATTCTACTCCTTAAATAGTATATCAAATAAGTGCATTCTTGCTTTCACCCCGGCTATTCCTTCTGGGGGAGGTGAAGGAGGTGTAATACTTCTCAGAAGGATTTTGACATGCTGCACACATCCATTAGTCACTTAGTGAGAACACAGTGTGTTTTTGATTAAGACTTTTATTACAAAATGTTACAAAACTACTTAAAATGTCTGAGAAATGACTAAATTTGATCATAAGTTAAATAGATAAATACAGATGCGGACACCAGTCCTGCGACGGGTCGGGGCTCTGACAGAGGACACATCTGCACCGATGCAAAACAAAACGGAGACCGAGCGGCTACTTCAACCCTCGACCCCCAAAGGGGGTTTGATTCAAATGCTGCAGCCATGATGTAATGCTGAAACCGACCCTGATGCAGGTAACTGTTGCAAAATCAAGATCTTGACAATGATTCATTTTGGGGGGAAACAAAAAAAAACAAACAAAAAAACGGCCTGGAATGATGAACCCATAAAAAGATTTGTGCGGTTGGTTGCGTCACAGCGTGAGGAGGAATGCTTCCCGTTTTCCCGGTGGGCTTTGCCCATTGACGGCCGTGGATCATCTGCTAATTCTCCTGGCAAGAACCTACAGGAGAGATGACAGGAAAGCGTTACTCTGATCTAAACCAAAAGCTGGTTGTACTGTGCTTTTTATGACACAATTAAGCTGCCAGACTGATGAAACTTCACTAGTGCTTAAACTAACTCAAGGGAAATGACGGTGACATGTAGCAGGATGTTGCTGTTCAGACTTTCTTTTTCGGGCAAGGTTGGATGTGTAATAAAGGAGTAATAACAAAACAAAATTAAATCCGATGTGAGAAAAATAGTTTATGTCTGAGAATGGAACTAGTCCTGCATTTAAAGAGAGATCTGAACATGCAGGGATAAAATGCATTTATTTTGGCATGCAATTAAAGTACATAAGGAATACTGGAAGTTGTGGTTCATAAAAAAGTGCAAAAGTCTCAATGCCACGACGCATGTGTACATTCCACATGTGTTAATGAGGCATTTAAGATAAGATCTGGGTGCATGATGAAGGATTCAGTCATTGTTTGCTCTTCTCAGCAGCTTTTTTTTCCTTGTTATTTTTCTAAAGTTTATCAAAAACTCCACAAGAGAAGAACTTTTCTCTTTTTTCCCTCTGTTTTTGCTAAGCATAATGCTTAAAAATCTTAAAAATGCAATTCTTGTAATTCTATTCTTAACCTTTTTACTGTCTTAATTCAATTAGATATTAACAGCAAAGATATTTCAACATTTTATAGTGTATGATTTAGCCCAATGCAATAAAATAAATGATTACATTACAGGCACAAAATTTAATTATGTTATTTAATTTTTTTTTTATATTAGCATTTCACTTAGAATTGATCACATTACGGACTATTGTTCCACTTGAGCCTTTTTGATGGACAGCTCTTTTTTGGAGGTTAAAGGGCTTTCTTTCCCGGGTAACAGAACATTTCCGTGTCGGAATCTCTAATTGAAACGAACAATCAAGGGTCACTCCGCATGTTACTCACACGTGCCAATTCGCTCTTCCAGAAAGCCGATCTGCTCGCTGAGGGAGTCGATGCGGTCCAGTTGCTGGAAGGAGTGGGACAGTAATGTGGTTTTCTCCGAGTAGCCCTCGTCCAGCGACAGCGGGAAGTAGCTGCTGAAGGGCGCCAAAACCAACTGTAATTTCTGAGGACGACACAAACATGACAGGAAGTTTTTCATTTTTGTTTTTAAGGGGGAAAAAAAGTCTTTAATGAGAAATGGCAACACATTGATATGGTAATTTACACACTCAGCTTTTTTTTTTTTTATTCTTTTTAAAGCAACTAGGATTTCTAATAATGCCACTCTGCAGGTCTGGCATTTCAAAGAATCTTTGGTTTTAGGATTTAATAGCAGCGGCCATATAAAGAGCAGAGGTGCTCCTGGTGAGCCGGAGTGGGAGGTATCCGAGTAGGTGGCTTTCATGTGAGTTTAAACATGTGTTCGCAAGCTCTTTCGAATACCTTTTCCAGGAGCTCCACTCTGTTCCTCAGGCTCTGCACCTCCTCCGTCACATTCTCCACCAGGCCCCACCTTCCACCTATACCGAACACAGACAGACATCTGCATGAGAGCGGGTGGACAATCCTGTCTGGAAACCAAAACTAGGAGCGTGGAGAAGGGGGTTGAGTCAGAGGCAGAAGGTGAGAGCGATAAGGTTTCAAATGTAGAGATTCCTCAGAGCATGAAGTTTTCATCAAGCCTTTCTCATTCGGTGATTGATGTCAACTGCAACATTTCTCTTAACCAGAAACCAACCACGAGGACCACGGAGCTGCCGGGGGACTGAGGTTATTCGAGGCACGAGGGGAAATCTCAGATATGGGAACAGCTGAAAAAGCCAATACACAAGCGGGAAGAGAGGCCTACAGAAATAGACATTGCAAACTTTTTAAAGAAGCGTCTGGCTCGATCTTCTCGAGGGGGGGAAATGTCCCTGGTGGAATAAAGACCCAGATCGGGATGCAGAGTTAGGAACTCCCCCCATACTCCGGGAGATGTTCAATCTCTCCCAGATGTGGTCCATAACCAAGACGAGAATAAGTTTAAAAACAGGGTGAGATGGGGGAGGAGGTGTGGGAGGAAAAAGGGGGGAGCGGGGGGGAGAGGGGGGTGTGCTGGCGTTGACCCCCAGCAGACAAGCTTGATGGAGCTGGAATGAGAACACAAGAGTTGGCCAAGAACAGAGTGAAAAAAAAAAAGGGGGAGGCTGAAAAGCATGAAAGTAGTCCAAGACTCTTGGCAAAGCGAAGGGAGTCGACTTTCGGAACATTTTAACTCGTGTTTACATTCGTGATCTCTATCAACATCCCTCTGACATGTGCATATGAGCTGATAATAAAAATGTCTCAAAGCCATGTCGCAACAACATATTTTGCATCCGAGCCAGGCAGCGAAAAATAAGAAAGCTCACTGCCTTTTAAGAGTTAAAAAACAAAAAGAAATCTGTCATATTTAAGTTTTTTCAACCCCCATTCTTGTGTGAGGAGTTTTTTTTTCTGTTGATTCCTGATTCAGCAATCCATCACACAGTTGTTTGGGCCAGCTTTTTAAGCAGATAGTGTTTTTGTGTAAAGTTTTTAGTGTAAACTCTGATAAATAGAGGGGAGTTTGGAGCAGAGCCTGAGAAATTTGGCAGCCTCGCATTCATACAGACATATTTCTTTTCTCTGGAAGTGCTGGAGGCAGCATCCCCCCCTTTTTTTTTAGACTTTACATTTTGGTGACTCACGAATATCCCCAAGGCTGAAAAGAATGAGGGAGAAATCAGGAAAAGGTAAATCTGCTTTAAGGTTTCATGTTGCCTGATTTCCCAAAAGACCAATATGGCTGACACAGAATGGAACTTAAAAAAGGGAATATCCAGGGGATCAACCACATTTTTAGACAAAAAAGCGGGAGGGGATTGAATTATTTGGTTGCTTAGATACGACAAAACACACAAGAATGAAAGTGGACTTTTTTTTTTTTCTTGCTCTACAGACATAATTGAACATTCTTATGGGAACTAATGTGGTGTGCGGGGTAGGAATATGTCAGCATTAGCACGGGAGCTCTATTAAAGGCAGATGTTTGCTTTCGATCGCGGCACTCACGGGGAGAGTGAACGGAGCCATTATCAAAGTTCAAATGATCCGGGGGGGGGGGGGGGGCGGGGGGGGGGGGCCGCACGACATCTGTCTGGAGTCGGCACCAGTCGCAGTGCATTATTACTCACGGTACGAGTTGAGAGTGGCATAGCGCGTACCAAAAGTAATAATGGACCGCGAAGCTGGCCATGTGTCTTTTTTTTCTTCTTTGTCCTGCTGCGGGGGCACAAAAAAAAAGTCACGTTCTGTTGACACACAGTGCCATTTTGTTCCATTACCCGTATCCGTTTGGTCGCCCGCTGTTGCCTGGCTGCTCTGGGAGGGAGGAGGAGGAGGATGAGGGAGAGGAGGAGGAGAGGAGGGAGCGGGAGGAAGGCTTTGACAGGAACGGCCATCTCCTGACAGCCTGAATCCTTCTCCGCAAGCGCACCGATAGCTGCCCGGTGTGTTCAGGCACTGCTGACCGCACGGCCGCCGCCCGCTGCACTCGTCCACGTCTGGAAGAATAGAAAGAGAAGAAGAAAGCAGGTGTGAGCACGGACAAAGAGAGTCATGTGTGTGTGTGTGTGTGTGTGTGTGTGTGTGTGTGTGTGTGTGTGTAGGTAGACCCAGGTGCGTTTACCGGTTTGGCACTGGTGTCCCGTCCAGCCAGGGGGGCAGCCACACTGGTCGGGTCTGAGGCAGGTACCGCCGTTCACACAGGGTCGCCCACACACGGCTGCGGATTCAGTCACACAAACGCACAGTCAGCACTTTTTTAAACAAGTCAGAGATTTGATTTTGTGTGAAATGTACTTTGGTTTATCTGTGAAATTGTTGTTTCAGTGGCAAACTTTTTTTCCTTTTTCTTTATTTATCTGATAGGCCACATCCTCTTTAGCCTTTTCTTTGATACACATATAGGGGGGGGGGAAATAGCTGCCTCTTATTTGTTTTGTTTCCTTTCCACCTCCTCGCCTTTTTACATGTGCCTTGTTCAAACTACAGAAAAGAAATGAGGTTCAGCTACGGAAAACCTCGTCCGACATCACCAGGATCTATAAAAAGCAGCATCGGATCAAGCCGATCCAATTGAAGAGGCTTTTTTTTTTTATCCTTAGCGTTTTATTTTCCCTTCTACAGACTACTGTTTATTAGCTAGGTGCAGTGAATTGGCCTTTGGTTTGCACGGGGGGAGGAAAAGTCCTCTTGGCTTACCTTGGTTGCAGTTGTGAGAGTGAAATCGTCTCCAGCCGGGGCAGCAGTCCGCGTACAGATGTGGAGGTGACACCGCCCTGCTCACCTGCCTGTAAGCCAGCGAGTACGTCGTCCTGAGGAGAAAAAAACACACGCAAAAACAGCACTTAGGATACTTGTCCTGTCGTCACCGTTTGGCCGTTTCCACATTCTCCGGCTTCAAGAAAAGCTGGCGACGGGGAAAGAAAAATCTGCTGGAATAGTGGGACCACATCCAGCTGAGCAGCTTCAGAGATGAGCGCAAGTTTGAGGGAGGACGGGGGGGGGGGGGGGGGGGGGGGAGTGGGGGATGCAAAATCAGATTTAAAGAGTGAGATTCTGCTGCAGCCTGTGTGTGTTTAGTTTAAAGAAGGAGGAGAGAAACGGTGATGAACACACAAAAAAAAAAAAAAAACCCAGAAACCAATTTAAAGATGTGTTTTTTAGTATTTTCCAGTAGTCGTTTTGCAGGCCATTTCTATAGCATCAGGAGCAACAGCGATCTAAAAAGTGTCAGCGGGCGAATAGTTAAACGGGATGAAAATGTAGAGAATGTTACTGAGACCGGAGAGCATCGGAGCCGGAGAGCGATTAGTATGGAGGGAGACGGGGTCCAAAATAAACAGGGCCGTGGTCTCTGTGGGCAGGCAGCTCATTTCCCGTAGTTACACAAAGTGCTTCGCATTTAGGTCCCACTCAGATATTTACCGCTGTGACACAGTTTCGATGTACAGTCGGACGCGTTTTTGCGTGGGAGTGTGTGGACGAAAACAGAACGGCTATTTCGGACGGCGCTTGTAATCCGATCCCTCCCTAAACGCGTCAGTTTTTGTTTACAACTGAAGGGTCCCCCCTATTAAAAAGGGTTCTGATGGCTGTAGCGCTGTTCTGTATGACTGAGGGAGCCGGAAGGGAGAAACTCTCACTTGTAGGTGCTGCAGACCCGATGGCCCTGGCACAGCGTGATGTAGGGCTTGTGCAGGGGTTGGATGTAGGACTCTGTGACGGTGACCACGCTGCGGCGGGGCTCCCGACCGCACACCCTCCTCCTGCAAAAGGATGAAAAAAAATTAATAAAAATCATCAACACAAAGCCAGACTTTTCCGATTCAAAGTGTGACGAGACTCAAATGTACCTCAAGCCTGACCGGAGCCTCAAAAGCTCCTGACTGACTAAAAAAATACCTCCCGAATGCATCACATTTAAAAGTTGACCTTTGGCCTCCGCGTGTCAATTTGACCCTCTCATTTAGTTTATTTTAGTCTGTCCGCACATCAGCGCAAAACTGACAGGATGAGCCCTGAGACGTGATTGGTAGAGCCTTGACCCCAGAGGGAGCGAACTCTGGGATGTTTAAATGTCGTTTGAGCGCTTTGTGTTGAGACGAGCGCGGGCCGGCCAACCCGGTGACTAAAAACGACAGGCCATAACAAACACAGGAAGAGAGCGGAGTGAGCCCTTACCCGAGGTGGGCGGAGGGCTGGGGGGTGCCCGTCACGTGGAGGATGAGGAGGGAGGAGGAGAGGAGCAGCGTTCGGTACATCATCTTCCTCTTTCCCACGTCGGCTGGCCGGGGTCTCGCCCACTCTGCTCCGTGCCGGTCAGACCGAAGAGGAGAGGAGGATGAGGGGCGGGGGGGCGGTGGGCTGAGGCCAAAGTCTCCTCACGCTGGATGTGAAGGTTCTCCCTCAGGAGGATGACCACAGCTACCTGAATAGAGAAGGAAATTTAAAGTACATGCATTTTTTGACAAAATAATGTTAACAAAAACTCCCCTGGATTAAATGTCCATTTGAATGGAAGGCTGATTCCATTAAGGGTCTAAGAGCTGCGTCCTGTAGCGGGACACGAGGGAAGACCTCCAACCCGACCACTAATTAGGCACAAGACACCGTATCACCGGTGGGAAAACCCTGGCTGCAGAGCAGCAGGAACGAGTCCCAGCCTCTGAATGAGATCCGGTTCTGTCGGAGGAGGTCGAACAAAGTTGAGAGCACCGGCAAAGCCAAAAACTGAGCAAAAATTCAGAAATAACAACAACAAAGCCAAAAAAAACAAACACAAATAAGAAAGCGTAGCAAAGAGGGAAACAAAATATGCGAGAAGAAACAACGGCTTTTGGAAAAGAATGATTAAAAATCTTTTAAAACCACAGAAAACACCAGAACTAGTATTCACCATATCGAAATTGCTTTTTTTATTTTTGTTGGCGCCTTTTATTTCTGATTTCTTTCAAATATTCCTAATGTTCTCTATGTTGTTGTTTGTCTTTTTTTTACCTCTGCGCTGCTGTCCAAAAATCCCTTTTTCTTTGATTAAAAGTCTAACAACAGCTGGATTAAACAGTGTTTGAATCTCTGTTGGATTTGGTGTGGTGCTGTTATTCTTAAAAAGCTGCCATAATCGATTTTTCTTACTTTTTATCATCGTTATTGTTCACGTCTCATAAATTGAGCTGGCCTCCCGGGTGACCCATTTAAACACCATAAAACAGAGCGGTTCTGATGGTTAAGAACAGTCGTGTCTACTGTTTGGGTTCGAGATGCAGCAGGGTGTTAATGTTCCCTAACACACAGAGGATTCTGACAACCTGTTGCCAGCTTGTTGGATCCATTTAAACAAATAAAAATCAGCCATCATTCCTTCAAAACAGGCAGATTATGAAACTGCAACACGATAGAATACACAAAGTAGACAGTTTTTCCCCTCGGAGACGCATTAGATTATAGCACACTGTCCGGGATGGTGAGAAAACCTGAGCTTAGGGGCATGTTTGAACACAGCAGACACTAAACCCCCCGGGGAAATCCCTCACAGCACATTAAAGCCGGCCGGGTGCGATGGCGGGTTACGACAACGTGGAGGTGATGTTAATCCTCAGAGGATCTGCTCAGGATCCAGCTGCTGGGCAAGCCTGTGTCCGTTCCCCACTTGGACTATTGGTACAGGAGGCCACGCACTTTTTGACTTATAAGTGTGAGAGAGAGAACGTGGTTACACCAGGATTAAGAAAGGCTGCGCAAAAATGCGCAAATAGACTGTCTTGTGGGTATAGATATTCTCGTCGGTCTTATGGAGGCTTGGAATCGTGATGATCTGCCACTTCGGAAACAGGACACGTGTTTTCATGAACCATTTCTGACCTATTGACCCATCATGAATCATTACATGTGCAGTTTCTACCACAGCCACCAGAGGGCGCTGTTTTACACTACCCGTGTTTGGAAATGAGCATGAACATCTCACATCTCTCCCTATGAGAAGTATTAACGTGCGCACACGCGGATTCACGCGCTCACAAACTAAAGCTGAGGCCCCATAGTCGTCTACTGAACAAGAAATGCAAAGAAAGTCCCACCATAGCTCTGCAAAACGAGGAGTTACCGGGGCCGACGCACACGCGCGCATAAAGCCAAATACCACCAAACCAGACCGCGCGCACGGGTACAGAATAACCACAAACCGTGCAATGAAACGACCAGCCTTCTCTGGGAAGCCGCGGAGAGCAGGAAAAAGAAGCGCCCGAGTCTCCAGAAAAATTCCTGAGGAGGTAAAAGTCCAGTGATAAAACTCCGCTACGGTCAGATTTCTCCCGGAGCTCGGACTGTCAGAGCGCATGGGGGGTGATGGAAGGACCTCCTCCCACTCCTCCAGCTGGGTGTCCCGCAGCTCAGACAAGGTCTGCTCGGGAGGGGGACCCTCCGTGTGACGTCACTGTACTGGCTCCACTTTTTTTTGTTTGTTCAAAGATGGAGGGGAAAGGAGGGGGTAGGGGGGCAGTGGAGTAAAACACAGGCTACAGAACCATCAATCTCCAGACAACGCTGGAAAACTTTGGCAAAAGGCTTCTTGATTTGTTAAAGCCCGCACTGGTAGTTTTAGGACATGAGCCGTGGATTTTTCTCAAAATGAGGGTCAATTGTTTTTGTTGTAAAAACACCGAAAATGAAAAAAAAAACTAATAAAGTCCGAATTCTGCTCTAAAAAAGTTTACTTAGTGACATACTTCCCATCAGTACATCGCAAGTGTCTTGCTCCCACATTCTACTGCCACTTTTAAGGGGGAGAGATCACTGTTTGGACCAAAGAAAAAAAAGAAAAATCTAAAGAGATTGGTTTGAATCCCTGATGTAATCCTGGCATATTGAACAAAGCCTTGTTCATTCGTGCAGCCTCATTTTGCACCTGCACTGACTGCTGTTCTGCACAGTACAGGAATTAGCACATAAGCATCAAAATCAGAGTTATATTCATGGTCTGAGATCTTTGGCCCTCCGTGAATTGGTCAGTTACGCATGAGGCGAGAACATTGCGCAAATAGAGCCAAATCAGACCACAATAAATAACCATCAAATACAAAGTGGTTGACATGTAGAAGAATGCAAAGATTGAAATATACATATGAAAATCAAAATCTCACCCTCGCAGTATAGGTTCATCGGGCGTGTGCGCGCGCGGGGGCTGGGCAGCGGCCCTGGGCACGGGCCGCCGGACCGCTGGACTAGAGGACTTCTCCATGGCGTTGGTTTTTCTTTATAAGGCTCGAGTTTGGCGATGTGGAATCGAACAAATCGCGCGGCGCTGACTCTAGATGCTCCCCGTGAGGCGGCTGGCCACAAATGAAATGTGTTTGGGCGTTTTTGAGTTGCTTTTTATGCTGAGCTTCCTGTGGAACGCAGGAATTGGACGGACAATCCCAAACCGGACTTCCTGTGAGTGTTTGCCGCTGATAAAACCCCTCTCCTGCACAAACACTCTCCATCCTGCTGGAATCTGATTTTGAAGCAGTTTTGTGCTCCCATTGTGAAGCAGGCATCTTGAAGGGGGCAAGCGCCTTCGGCCCCCTCACCTCTTGGCCTTTTGCTGCCTTGGTGGTGCAGATAGAGAACTGGGACATTGTTTGAGTGTGGTTAATCTTGCAGGTAGTTGAGTATTAAACTGATTTTCCCATGTTTGAGCCGATGGCGTGGGGGAGCTTATATAGGCTGATGTTTACAGCTGTTAGAGATCAAATCTGTGAAATTGCAGCTTGTTGAAGCCAAACGGTTGCATGATAAGGCAAAGTATTTTTCTTTTCCCTCCTCCAACTCCTGTGCATCAGTGCAAGCCAAGCTACTGGTCAGAACCCTAAAAAGCAGTTTAAAAAGTTCAGATTTAAAGTTTTAAAGATTTTAAAATTCAGAAATTCTGACAATGACTAGATAAGGAAACTTTGGAATCTATGCAAATATTTTGGATCATCAAATCTTGTCCCAACAAATTGTAGCCTCTTTTTACTGTCTGCTTTGTGTAGCTCTTATATGATCAAAAGAAGACTGCAAATTGTTCCCAGGAAGTCGTTTCCTCAGTTTGAAATTGAGAAATGCACAATTTTTTAGTTTTGGTGAAAGCACTGTCTATTGGCTTCCTTGACAGAATAGAAACTAGTAAAGTTGCAGGTGTAGTATAAAAAAAGTAAAGTAGATACTAACATGAAAGCTGAGAAAATGCTTCTACTATGAGATAAAGATTCTAAGCCCACCTTGAGATCCATCAAGAAATTTCTTGAGATGTGAGAGTTTTGCCAAATCCTTCACAACCTAAACCTTATAGAAGATATGTGGACAGACCTCAAAAGAAAAGTACTTTGGTCATGTTCCAAGAAGACTTTTACGGAAAAAAGCAGCGAAATCTCCCTCTAAATAAAAAATGAAAGATTTATGATCATATCTTAAAGTTTTAAAAGCCTCTGATACTTTAACCAGTCGCACCTAATGGTTTGTTTCACAGAAGTATGTGATAGGTATTCCTCTGGAGGCCTTTGGAATAAGGTCAGCGCATTAAAAAACATACTTAGCAGATTACTGGAAGCAGCAGATTTCAGTTTCACACTGACTGGTTTGTGTTTTTACATCTCAGACACAAATTGATAGTTTAAAGCATAAAAACGTGTTAGTTGTGATATTGCAAATTGGACAGGGAATAGGTTTTAAATTTGAAATGAGGTCTTGGTTTTTTGGACTGCGTTCTTCATCTTAATTTCCGACTGACCTCTTGCATCGACAGGCCTCTGAGTATTTTCCTTTGTGTGTGTGTGTGTTTCGCAGATGGTTGGATGGGCCTGTTCCTGCATTCAGACGCGGCATCTCATGCTAGCTCGAAAAAAGACTGCCAGTGGGTGCTGCTGACATGATGCATGAAAAGACAGACATGCAGCTCCTCCTCTGCCCTTAAACGGACTGAAAGTTGCTGGAAAACAAGGGCTCGTTTGTCATTCTAAGTATGTGCAGAGCAGCCCTTTGTACGGAGTCGTGCATACACTTTTAAAACGACTTTTGTGTTTATGCATGAGTGGCCGGAATTCAAGTGGCATGAACCAAAACCTTGACTGCTCCTTCCGCTTCGGTTTATGATCGATTTGTTTGTATTCTGTCATTTTTTGTATACTCACTCTACTGTCTTACTTTGTTATGTAGACCCAAAGATTCCTCAGTGATTGGTGGGTTTGGTTTGGTGTTTGGAGAAGGACTGATACCGACTGAATTCACAATCGACTTTCTCCACACAAAGAAGTGTTTTCTGTGTGATAACAAAAAGCCTACGTGCTGAAGCACCATGGGAACGCTCTCCTTCAGGGACGCAGGTGAGCACACACCTTCAATACCAATCGCTCAAAGGGCTTCGCATTAGAATGTCGGACGCAAAATCAGTGTGGGTTTGTATGTGAAATCTTGTGTAACGAATACCAAAGTGGGAGGGGCCCTACCTCTTTAAGCGACCCTTTTCATTCTTTGAAATCAAGACTTGGCCCGCCACACGCGGAGCTGCGCAGCCAGCCGTTCCGCGTTTGTCCCAGAGAAGATGCAGGCAGGCGGGAAACGGGCCGAGGCAAAGCAGCGCTTCCTCTTCACGAGGAAACAGGAAAAGGCTGGGGGAGCGAGATTCGGGAGGCTGCACCCTTGGAACAATAAAAATCTGGCTCCGAGAGGAAACGGATCTGCGTCAAAGAGGGCCTGACAGATTTTACTAAAGGGCAGTAGCGGTGACCCTACGTGGGGCATGAGCAAGAGGGTAGCCGCGTCGAACAATGGCCGAAACAATTCAAATACTTTTTTTAATCAAACATGTGTAAGGTCAGACCTGTGCAGAAATCATCTGCCAATCGATGGAAATGACTCCTGATGTGTTTGTTTGCAGCTTGGTTATGGTGACGCCCATGTGTTCAAGACCTTGAAATGAAATTAGATCAATTCATACAACTGTACGGGCGGTTTTCTGCTGTTTGACGAAAGGTTCTGTTCACTCAGCTTCGTCTGTTGCTTGTTTCCCTGAGATTTAGAGTCTGTAGTTTTGCAATCAGAACAACAAATGATGAGCGGCTGCCACTCCCAGCTCGCTCTGTCCCCACATTTGGGCAGGGGCTTCTGGTTTTTGCGTCCACCCCCGCCATCAAATGTTGCCTGAGTCGGTAAACCAGCACAGCACGGATATGTCGGAGCGGCATCAGGAGAAGTCCCAATTGTTCATCTAGAACCTTGATGTTTTCAAACCCAACACACACGAAAAATAAGAAATGGTGCAAAATCAAGCTTCAAGGTTTCGCTCAGAAATGGCGCCCATGCTGGGAGGTCAGGAGACCAACCGCCCACCCACTCCCCATTCCCCAACCCCGCCCCCCTCCTTCAAACTCCAGTCCTCCACCAGAGGTCTGGAAATCTACTCAGTCCCATAAGTTGGCCTTAAATCCGAGATATCTGAAATTGAATTTTTACGCGTGGCAGTTTTTGAATCTCTGAAAATTTTCCTACTCAGTTTAACTGCATTGCGAAATTGTTGCAAATCTACCAATTCTCCACCGACAAACAAGACCAGTCCCTGCTCTGATTTCCGTGCGGAGCGGCCAAACAGGACAGGACGTCCTGCCATACGAGGCCTGCCACCGCTGCCACTGCTCCCGTCTCATCCTCCACCCAAGACGTTCGTGAAGCCGTCCTGGAAAAAAACAGGACCGTGCTGGTGGTCCAAGCCTTTCCCGTGCTCCAGAAAATACACCGATGCCACAGGATTCCCGGAGACCCAAGAAAAACAAAAGAACATGCTCGACTCATTTGCGTCGCCTGCCTTTTTTATAGTTTTCCATCAATCAGCACGCCGGCCCTCATGGTTACTGACAGCGATTAAGCCCTCAGCAGAGTCCCGCATGCTTCACGAGGTCCTGTCAAATAACGGGCAAACTGCTGTTATACCAACAGAAAAAAAAGCCTTGACTAAACATTTGCACTCAAATAAATATATGAAGTTGTCGCTTAAGAATGCGTTAAAACAATCCCGCCGTAAACTTCAGCTATCAGCAATAAAATAAATAAAACTCCCGAACGGGCGAGCCGAACATTTGAATGTAAGTGAAGTGGTCTCGCTGCAAAGGTCAAGCATCATTTGTCCGGAGCAAAAAGACAGCTCTATTCACCAGATGAGCAAAAAGAAAAATTCCATCTTCAGCCCCCCACAATCGGGCATATTGTCTCATAGTTAATAAATGGAGGTCTGAGAAGCAGAAGGCATGCATGAAGACCCAGAAGGGGCAGATGGGATGGCACAACTGAGGAAAGCTGAGCCGCTCCGGTTGCATCATAGATACATATCAATAGGCCGATGACATCATCTCGCAGGCCTTTTGAAATGGAGTCAAGAATATCTATAAACCGTCAGGATGAGACCACTAGAATAACAAAATGATGGAGCGATTCCGAGCACAACGCCATCTCTTTAGGTGTCTGAATACTTTGTCCTCAGTTTGAAATGAGCGTCTGTTGTATCTGAATTTAATTTACAATGCGAAGAACTGTTGCCGATGTCCAAATACTCTTAAACTGAGTTCAGTATTACCTTCTGTCAAACCTCATCATCTATCCACATTTATCCAAACTCACCATGGGCCCTTTTTTCTGATGCTCTGCATCACATCCTTTCACACCATGAACTTTCTCTGACAATCACATTCCTTTGGTGCGCAAATCTACAATTTTCCTTCTTTTCTTCAATTTTCTAATGCTTAAGGCCTCTCTTTCCCTAAATGACTCTTTTCTCATTGCGATGTCCCTTTAAAGGCCTCTCCTTCCTATAGTTTTTGGCCCCCTATTTGTCCCAGCTCCCCTCACTAGTCTGTCAACATCAGAGCAGGAAGCTCAGGGAGTCTGACCGGCTCCTTTACCAAAGTAATCCGATTCCCCCACTCTGAGGATGCTGTTTGGAATTGATTTGTTGTAGATTTGGATTTCTTGTTTTCTTCTTCAAACACACTGCTGGTGTTGTTCTCATTCCGTTGCCATGCTAATGTTGGAATGCCTTAAACTTAATGATTAGATGTCATCTTCCATCCAAATGTTTATATTTTAGATTTTTAGGTGTCAGAGCAGAAAGCTGTTAAATGAGCAGAAATGTTAGACGCTTTGGCTATGGTTTTGGCCAACGTTAATGTTTGCTTGTCATCGGAAGTATGTCTGCCATTTGTGTGTGTTTGTGTGTGTGCGCATGTTGTTCCCATTCCTCTCTGGATCTTCATCCAAAACTTGCAGTAACAGAGACTAAACAGGGAAATGATACCAGAGGAGGTACTTTATTTATATTCTGAGTTAATGAAAAGAAGAATCAAGGATAGATTATTATCTTTACTTTGAGCATATTTCATGTTCATAAATAGTTTTGATAAAAAGATCTGTCCCAATA